CCATCCAAAGCAGCCACAGCCTTCTCAAGACAGTTTCTGGTAGGGTTCCCACTGCGGCTGTACTCAAACCCCTACATAAAAACATGATAAGACACTTCAGTCACCAAACAGTTATAATTAGTTATAAACAGACAGGTTGCCCAAACATAATTATGCATTCATACATTTCAGATGTTATGCCCTGCAGGATTAGAACAATGAAAACTCTTCAATGCTTCATTATTTCAGTGGCACAAAAACTGGCAACTCCTGTTTGTCTTTTGTTGGATAATCTGTTAATAATGTAGGTGTATGCAGACAACTGAAAACTGAGAACCAATACTTACTGTGAAGTAAGACACTATGTCAAGGTCTGTTTAAAATAACAGGGTACAAGGTGAGAAAAGACAACCCCACCCAGTAATTTACTATTTGGAGGCAAACAAGCTCATTGGTGGGAGAAAACTAAACAATGTCCTTGTTTAAATGAATGTAAAAAATATTTCCTAAAATAAGACCTTGCGTTTGCTACAAGGATTCTATCTCTCTCTCTTTCTCTCTCTCTCTGATTAGATATAGAGAGAGAGAATATATAGATATATAGACAGACAGACACCTTGGACATACAGGTATTGTTGCTGTGTATATGAGAAAGATACTGAGAGGGATCCACAAGCTTACACACAATTGAATGAAGTATTTGGATTCTATGACAGTGGAAGTATTTAGCACTCCTGAAGGAGATTTGTCATGGATTACTTATGCCTTTGAACAGAGGGTTTGTGTGGTTGTCTCCCTGCGAAAAACACCATCTGAGAATATACAGTAGTAAAGCAGATAATGGATGTTCTAGTTTTACAAGTTTACTCTGGTTTGATGATAAGATAGGCATTCCAAATTTTTCTAATCCATGTTAAATGTGAGGATATGCCACACGATTAGTCCTGGAACGGGGAAAACATTAAAGATCATTCATTACCCTCCAAATGCATTGTGCCTTTGATTGAAAAACACACACAATAAACCTAAATTACCTCTGCTCTCATTAATTTTATGTGAGTGTGCAATTGTAACAGTGGTACTTTCAAACTTGTAATCTGTTAGCCAATTATGACTAACCTACAGTATAATCATTGACAGAGACAAACAGCAGTTGCATAAGTCATTTTTGTTGCAACAAACAGTGCCATTTAAACTAGTCACTATATGATTGAGAGAGGGAAAACTGGATATCCCCCTGCTGGTTTCAGTCTGGATTAATAATCTATGCAATTCCAATAAAGCACCTTGCTATCAATACAACACAATACAAGACAGGACAATTCACAGACTTCCACTAACCATATATAGAATATTACAATTGTTGTGTATAGATTACTATGCTCCTAGATTTTTTAAATAGTACAGTTTCTAGTTAATATTTTATTTATTTATTTGTTTAATTATTTTATTTCTTATAGAAAGGAGGTAAAAAGAAAATGGATGCTTTTTATCATTGTTACCTAATGGCCATGGATACACTAGCTATTAAAATCATATCTAAAGAGGAACTAGAAGTAGCCTAATTAAAATAGGGGAAACCCAAACAAAAACGTCAATGTAAGTTATGCAGACACAAGTTTACTATTTCCTGTAATCTCTGTGTGTATTTATGTTGATCTGTTCAGTGATTCTTGTGTGATTTGGCTGCTTTAACAAAGTCTTATCCATCCACCCACAGGGCAACAGCGATTCAGACAGTATTGTGTGTATTACGTCTTAGAGGTATATACACTAGAAAGTGTAGATTATAGTTTATTTACCGACATGTTTCTATGTCTCAAATATCTCCAAATACAACCCAACAACTGAATATTAATTTATAATTGCCCATTTCAGTCGTCCTTCTTGAAGCTGGATAGGGTCTGCTTCACGCACGTGGTTACTACCGGATCGTTCCTGCCTTCACACACCCTCCTAAAATAACCAAGGCGTATCGGGCTACTTACGGCGTGGTTTCCTGGTTCGTTCTGCTTGAACGTGGTGGACAGAGAGATCGGCGGCACTACAGCCATTGATTTCCATTGCTCCGGCTCCTGACCGACGTGAATTGCCTCTGTGGCGAACGATTTAAACGGCGTGCTGAAGCCGGCGAACACATCGCTCTGCTCGTCTTCTTTGCGATTTAACTCCATAACAATGCGCTCCCCCAAGCGTGAACCAAAGCCGACTGAAGATGAGTATGCATTACCGTGGTATGCTAAAGAGGAAAGCCATTTAACGTGGCTGTGCGCTGCGCTTCTCCTTGCGAGCCAATCAGCGCTCATCAACAAGCAGAGGAAGCCGCTGATTGGTTGTTCAGTAGGGGCGTCCCACCCATGTGATCATGCACGTTGTTTGCGTTTGGGTGTGTGTGTGTGTGTGTGCTTGTGTGTGTACTGATGTAACGCTTCCTGTTGCTTGAGTCAGGGAGGTTGAAAACCTTTTGTCTCATTTTATTTAAGATTTACTTCAAGTTAGTTCTACTGAATTTTACAGTAGGGTTTATTTTAAGAAACGCAGAAAACAGTCTGTAAAGTCGAAATGCAATCCAAGTAACTAAAAAAAGGAGCAAAAGCTAAACTTATCTGTAACCACTCTGTATCAAGGCATATTCTCCACAAAGATGTCGTAGTTGTGAAATATTAGCCTACATTGAATGGTGTGGATTTTAGTTCCTCCTGTCACACAAAACAGATTTCGTGTAGCTGTGCTTCCATTCTTGAGCCATAGGGGGAGGAAGTGCTCTTTACACCTTTCACCACAGTGTCAGTGTCTCTAGAATATGTTACAGACATAATATCTATATGTAAGGGGAACAAATCTCACACTGGAAGCTAAATATTGTGGCAAGACACACACACAGCACACATCCTACAATTAGTTTGGCGCCTATAATGTACATTAAGGTAATGATGATGATACAACCAAGATAGATAGATAGACAGATAGCAAAGCCAAGTCACATAAATTATGAAACAGATAACAATATTCAGTGAGGTAGGAAAGAAAACAAATACAAAAGTCATAAATAACTAATAGAGATCTCCGCCAGGTGTTTCTGGGAGTATGTGGGAGGGGGTCAGGGAGTGCAGTTCAGGCTGTGTGTCAGCGTGTATGCATGAGAGTCGAGGAATGAAGGGGGGAAGTTGATTTGCTTCATCTGGCGGAAGATATAAACAGTCAACCTAAGTAAAAGCACAGAGGCTGAAATAAAAGTCTAATATGATCAGATTTACACCGTACACTGTAATTGCCACAGTAATACACTGTGTATTTGTTGTATATTGTGTACATACAACATACGCATGCATACATTTAAATAAAATAATAAACATAAATAAGCAAAATAGTTGTATGTACATACACTCATGTACAGATGCTTGCCTAAAGGATCTGATAAGTGCAAGTGAAGAACAGACAGCACAGAACCCATAATGACTGTATAATATGACATGATACATGTAATAAATGTATAGTGAAGTGAGAAGTAAAAAATAAAAGTAGAAATAAAGATTATTTCAAGTATTGCTGTGGACTTGTGTGGAGATGTTTTATTACATATATGTTTAACTGAGGACTGTAAGATACTAGAAGGCCGTAGGCCTAATGCTTATTTATCTAATCTGACTATAACCTGAAGTCAACTAGAAGACTGGAAATAATTAACTATCTGTATGTCTGGAATAGTTGCTGATGTCATCTTTGATCAGTTTTATAATTCAAAGTAAATTGAACAGTTTTGAAGTAATAATTATTTACTATACCCTATTGTCATTTTATGTTACCTTACACTTACCTTATACTTTTGAGGGATTTATTCTATTTAAATGACCATATTTATTGTACAACTAGAATTCACATTTTGATACAGTGGAAACTTCTTATATGGATCAAAAAGCTTGGGACAGAATCATTCCTATACAAATGTTTAAAAAATTTGCTTCGTAATAAAGTAGTCCGCTTACAGTATGTTTTTGGGTCTTTTCATACATGACAACAAAAATATCTGAATATTTTATGAAGACGTTTGTTTTCGAACTCTGCTACCAGTTCGGTAATGATAGCCTACAGTTCATTTTGGGCCTGTTTAAATCCACCGCCAAGCTGTGGCTTAGTAGCCTGTTTGCCATTTTGTATAAAGCCCAATTCTGTTTTAGGCTCTAGCCTAATTATAATTTGAACTACAGTAAGCTATATTTATATACAGTACTGTGCTGTATTACTGTATAGTCTATTTTAATAATACACAGTACAGTCATTTAATTTATACAATAATTTGAAAAGCTTTGAAAGCTGCACTCCAACCAATTTCAACACTCAAATGCTACTTACACATGGATGCATTAGTAAACAATTCAATAACGTGATATATAACTCTTACAGAAGCATTTTCTGCATAACGAATAATTTTAAGTATTTTATTGATGATATATGTGTACTTTTACTGAAGTAATACTTCTTCCAGCATTGCCAACCCATGGTCTAGGCTTATGACTATTTCAGTCTGTCTTCCTGAAAATTGTTCTAGGAAAAACTAGAGTCAAAGTCCTTATATGTAGGCTGTACACATACATGGTCAATAAAGCTGATTCTGAAAACGTCATTATGCAGAATGACCCCTTTGAGTGTGTCACATTATTGCATTCTGAAAGCGGCCGAATTGTATTATTGTTTTTGGATTTTGCATTTTAATGTCGTAGCTGCCTGAAGTGGAGCTAGTCTTATCAGTTTTCCCATGATATGAAGTTGTCTGTGCTGTTGGGTGTATTATTATTTCTATAATGCCTTATGAAGTGACCAAATAATATGTTACTACAGTCACTATAGCTGAAACCTCAAAATTGTACTTAAATACAACACTTGAGAAAATAAACTTGGTTACTTTTCCTCACTGGGTGTTAAATATTAGATAGAAATGTATTGAAGGAACAAGCATGAGCTTGTGACCGTTAGTAACCTATCCTGAACTCTCGCGATAATTCGAGGCGGAAGACATCAGCCGAATCTTCCGTACTAGCAAAGATGCTCTGTAGTCAACTGGAGCGGCTTATGTTGTGCAGCAACCAGCGATAGTTTTGGACGATAGGAGCAGAGCGAACGGTTTGTTTTCATCGTTAACCGGTGAACGGGAGCTGCTCTTTGTTCGTCTTCGAACAAACTGTCGTTTTTTGCATATCCAGCGGAGGGTTAAGTTAAGTGTTTTCATGTTGTGCAATTTACAGTGTTTGCGTGAAGACTCCCTAACTGGCGGATCGCATCAGTTCGCCCGGAGGGTCATCGTCAGCGACGACACCCTCTGCTCAGTTAGCGTCAGCTGTTTAGAAAATGACCGGAGAGAAGATCCGCTCCCTGCGCAAGGACCACAGGCCGAGCAAGGACCAGGATTTACTGGAGCCGGACGAGGAGGCTGCAACCGGGACGTTCACCGCCTCCAAGACGAACAACAAGAGCAGAGCGAGTAAAATCTTCAGTAATCACAAGTTAAACAAGTCTTCGTCCACGCAGCAGCAGAACCAACAGTCGCAGATTAATGCTAACACCAACACGCTGTCAACGTCGGATGTCATCGATGACAACAACAAAAACCCCATTATCCGAACCGCGCAAGACTTTCCGGTGCATGAATGTGTCTTTAAAGGAGATGTCCGACGCCTGTCTTCCCTCATACGGACGCAGAATATCGCCCAGAAAGACGTCCATGGTGAGCCCACCAGCTGTTTATCTTTATTAGGCAGGATCCCCCCCAAACCAGTCACAATCGACCAATTACAAGGTCCGGGGAAGCTCAGTTTTAGTTAGCTGATAGGCCATCAGTCTCCAGCAGCACTGGAAGTAGGCGAGGCTTCTCCCTACCAAGGCCTGGAGAACTGATTCCCAAAATAAGGAATACTTTGAATCCACTACCCTACAGTATTTGAAATCCAGTGCCTTCAAGTAAATCGAACAAAAAAGTGCATAAGATAGATTGTTTTCTTTAGAGGCTCTATGCCCCATCCCACCTACAGATCAGTCACAAAAACCTAGATAAGCTATCTTTGGTTAAATGCTTATTAGACGTTGGTGCATAGGCAGGAGTCAAAGGATTTAGGGAATATTTATTACTTATCGGAGACAGATAGCACCTCTTCTGCAGGGCAAAGTCTGCTCAGATAACACCACCATTTCCAAAGAAACACTCCCTGAACGGACAAAATGAGGAGATTATTTTGTTTGGTTCACCTGCCGAGACAACTGATGGCCTGTATCTGGTGCTCGGTGTCACAGCTGGAATGTGGCATGTCTTCAAATCAGAGCTCTGACATGTTGCAATGCAACTGGGCATTCGCCTCTGGTGTTGTTTTTAGAACTTGAGCCTGTATTTTTCAAAGGCTTTTTCGCCCGTCTTGAAGAGGGTTGGCGCGGCTCAGTGGCAGTAGTTTGTGTGTTTACTCACATATCAGTTTAGCTTCCACTGGATACATGCTGAAGCCTGACTGTCACACAATATCATTCAAATCAGTTGGCGTTGATTAACAGTCAATACAAAGATCAAGCTTTATTATTTGTTCTGTTGTTCCCATTGGGCACATGTAAAGCAAATATAATGTACAGGTAACTGTTATAGTGATGTTTAATTATGTGATCCACATCACAAGAAAACATGACCAGTAGTTGTATCAGTCCGTTCAGATAATATTGGTATTGTGCGCCAGTGTTGTCCAGTCCTGACTTCAGAAGAAGAAGAAGAAGAAGAAGCTGGAACCATTCACTTTTGGCAGTTTTTGGTTGATGTATGATTTAAAAACAATTTTTCAATGCTTTGTGTAATACCAGTAAAATTCCATTCACCACCATTGAACTGGATTGACAGTAAACATCACAGAGACAAATATCTCCAAACTTCAGCGGAAGAAACTGAATCTATCTGCATGACACCGTCACTGGCAGGTGTGCAATAGCAGTTAGATGTTCAGTGTCTTACCCAAGGACACTTGAACAGAGACGTGATTGTTGGTGTGTGTGTGCAACCAACCACAGGCCTCCAACATCTTTGTGTGACCAGAAATTGACTTCACTTGTGCCGTTGCCCTACCTATGCATGCAGTTTATGATGTAAATGCTCTGTATTTGTATTGCGCCTTTCTAGCCTGGAGGAGCCGGGGATTGAACCGCCAATCTTCCGATTAGTGGGCAACCCGCTCTTCCCCCTGAACCATTGCCAGCCATTTATCACAACATCGGGGCTTCTGCAAAAGCAGGCCCTCTTTACTGCTCGCCCACCGCCCTTCTTCTGGAAGAGAAGCCTGAAGGAGCTGACGGGGCAGTCTGGCTTCCTCTTGAGGGATTTTCCAACACTTAAGAGGCACATTTCACATCCTGGGAAGAAAACCTGTGCTTCTCTACACCTGACCTTAAAACGTTGTTTTCCCTGAATGCATTTTTACCACGCTGTGTTTACCTTTATGCCAGTTAACAAGCCATGCCTCTGTTTAACGCAGCTTACTTCGGCGGTGGAGTAGGTTAATAGACTATAATATTGCCTGTCAGGGTAGGAGAACACACTATAGGCATATACTTACCATATCATTTGGGATTTAGTGGATTCTGCCTCCCAATTTAAGCATTTAATTCACCCTGAGTGTGACAGTCCTAGAGGCACAGTGCTTGTCACAGACTCTCGTCTCGTATTCTTGATATCAAAGGCAGCTGACAAATTCTATTTTTTCCTCCCTCTTCTTCAGGAAACACGCCGTTGCACCTCGCTGTCATGATGGGGCACAAAGGTGAGTAATGTGTAATGAATGCATCTCCATGTTGTTTATTTTTGTCTCTCTCTGTAGCTTTCTAAATGATTCTGTCTGCCGGTCTGTATGTCTTTTGTTTCTTGTGTTTCAGTTAATTCTCCTGTCTTTGTGTGTGCATTTGTCCAGTTAAGCACTAGCAGACATTTGTCACAGATCACCACACAAATCCCAGACAAAAAGATGCTCATGCATGAATAAAGAGGTTGTGTTGATGGATTGTCACCTGGTCAAAAACGGGCTGAGAAAACTGTTTTCTTCCTTTCTTGTGGCCGTGTCTTATCTTCTATTTAATATATTTCTAGAGACTATTAGAACATATTTAATCAGTGGGGATTAGATAATGATGACACAGCTAGAAATAGGATCCTCTCAGTGGCTGAAGTCTCTTGTTCTGATTGGTGTTCCACCGCTGGCTCAAAGACTAACAGTTTGAAGCTGGCAGAGGGGATAATTAGTTGAGATAAGAGATGTCATTTTCAATGTCCATAATGTTTGCTTAGTGTGTTGTTTCTCTTGTGCTGGAGAGTTTACTTAGTAATTATCTAAGTCTTTGGTTGAGTTAGAATCAGTTGTGGACAATAATCGCACAAAATGATGTGAAGTTTTGGCATGTTTCACACAGATGGTAGAGCTTTGTGCATTTTCCCAAAGATCCAAAAGGGTTACAACTTATGTATGTAACACATCCTACAATAGCAATCACAACAAAACAACTGGCCAATCTGATGAATATGTCATAATGTATTAGTGCTCTGTAGAAACCTTTACATGATCTAGTTTTTAACTGAAATGCACTGGCCAGACTGAAAGCATGTGCATGAAATATTAACACGCTGCCCCTTTGTGAGGCGATGCTTACATTTAATTTCAGAAAGAGACTTCAGAACATGCTATTGAAAAATTAATCCCCCTCCATCTTTTGTTTACAGCAGGCTCTCTGTTAACAATTCAAGCATAGGGTTGCTTGTACTGCAAGTCCCCATTTGTTTAGTGTCTGTCATTGGAGCATGGGTTTCAATTGATTTCACATTTGCAAAGTTCAATTCCTGTCGCTGGAGTGAAGGCCCTGCCACTGCCCATTGGTATATCAGACAGCGGAGAGGGCTGAATTGTCGTGGTGGACGGGACGCTATGGAATTGATTGTGTTAATGAGGTTGCCTATCTCTTGCCTAAGCTGCTCCCCCATCCTCCAGGGATGCTCAGGCCAGACAGGCTGAAGGCTACAGCATGAGATCATAGTCTGGGTGTGGCTGGTCTGTATGGATGGAAAGGACAGGGCTCTCTTTGTGTATGGCCAAGCGTGTGTTTATCATTTACCAGACTAGTAATGACAGCGATGCATGTCTGTACTGTTGGACAGGTGAAAAATACCTTGTAGAAGAAGAAGAGAGAGACCGTTTTTGTCACTAACAGCCAAAAACGGAGAATACTGCGGTGCATATTCGCGGTTCTAAAATGAAATACTGAGAAATTTAAGGGACTTTGTTTTCTCACAGGGCTGCCAAACATTTGTCTGGGGAAATGTAAACAGCAACTGCAACTAAAAATTATTTTCATCAGCGATTAATATGCCAGTTATTTTCTCAGTTAAGTGGTTGGTATATAAAATTTTGAAAAATACCCATTACAATTTTATAGCCCAAGCTGACATCTTCAAAAATGTTTTGTTTTGTCTGACCCAACACTCCCAAATACATATAACTTAAAATAAAATGAGAAAAAACAAGCAAATGCTTGTTCATGTTAAAAAAGGATATAAACGAATTGATTGATCATTTCAGTTCTAGGAAAACAGGGAAACAGTGACTGAGGTAGAAGATGACACTGACAGAGAAAAGCCAAATGAGTAATAAAACAACTCCTAAATCTATGATGTGAATGAATGTACGACAGTGGATATTTTAATTCAATAAATGGGTCTGCTCTTCAGGTCACTATCTGACTCATTATTTGCAATGTGTTCCGAACACATTCTCTGGAAATGAAACTCTGTGGAAACTGAACACACGATACTGAATTTCACGCCCAGTTTTAAGATAACACCATGATCAGAGGTATAAGACGCCTGTTTCCTGATGCGTCCCCCTTCAAAGGACAGAAAAAATGTTTTCCTTTTGTGCAGGGACTGTGTATGTTTCTCACAAAGATAAAATCACAAAGATATTTCAGATTGGTTTCAGCGATATAAGATCGTGTTTGCAGCCAATGTACGAGTCTGGCAGGGTTAGTCTTCCTCTGGTGTGCTGGCTTAAATCGAGAGAGGCGATTCGATTCTCATTATGTACATAATACAATATTAATTTTGTCTGGACAAAAAACACAACATTGCTTTGGGGAGTATCAGATTTGCCTCAGTGAATGTGACAATGTGATTCTTTAGCTCCTGTTTGATTCGGTGGCTGAGTGAGTGAGTGATTGATGGTGAGCAAGTGAGCGAAAAAGCCATTTTATAGATGTACTCAGCCTGGATCAGAATGGGCGGTGATGGTGGGGGTTTTAACAGCCCACAGAGCCTCTTGACAAGTGCCCCGATTGCAGCCAGTGCACGTACTGAAGCACTTTGTTTCTCCATCCTGCCCTGCCTCCCTCATTCCTCTGTTGTTAGGGTTGTATATGACTCAAGCAGGACCTCCGTACAGCTGCTGCACATGCAATCAACCCAAAAACCCGCAGGGACACTTTTATCAATACTTTCATGACTGTGTAGCAAACCATGACTAATGAGTTTTAGGCCAAATGTTAATGTATCCAGGCAGCTCTTTTTGATTTGATTCATATGAATGACCTGCAGTCGTTTGATTTTTCTTTCCCAGCTTCCTACAAGGAAAATGCAAAGACAACACCAACTCAAAAAAGCTATGTTTATATTTTTTCATTATATTTTAACTATTATATGATAGAGAAAGAAATAGTCAATTTATTGATAAGTTGACAGACAGAAAACAGCTTTATAGGGGAGGGATGCTTTTTTTGGTCAGCTGGCAGTAGAGAGATGTCAGGAAATAAAGGGAGAGACAGGTCCGAGGGATGTTGCTGTCGCTGGTTGACGTCGTAACTCCTACAACACCAGGGCACCCCAGTCAGCATCTATTTGATTAATGATCAATGTTAATATCAATATTATTTTTCAAGCAGAAATAAAAAATGTTCTCTGGTTCCCAGCTTCTCAGATGTTTCTTTGCCATATATGTAAATAAACAGAATATTTTTGTTGGTCGAACAAAGCACGCAATGAATGTCACCATGGCTTTCACCATTTTCTGACAAAATGATTCATGTAGAAAAGGATCTGCAGATTAATCAAATAATTGTTAGCTGCAGCCTTAAATAATAGCTGTACTACTTTTTGAATCTTTAATAGTTCATAATGTATGTCCTACTGCTTCTGGTATTGTGCTCCAGTTACTATTTATCTAGATTTAATAATGTTAATCAGTGAAAAGCCAAGACAGATCTTCAACACATATTTAAAGCACAGTAAACAAATGGTGTAGAAACCCTGTCTCCATACACTGTGGTGACTGAAATCATTCATATATTTTTGTCAGTATCAGTAAGTCCAGAGACTCGACTCCTCGTACCTATTTGGCTGAAGCCAGACCAGAAGTCAGCAAGTTCGCCACTCAGGATGCACGGCTTGGCTCTTCTCTGTGTGTCTATGTAATGTATATCTGATAAATTTTGTCATTATTATTACACAATCATTGGATTTGGCAGGGTGATTTATAGGTCAAAGGCCTGAGGGAATGTGAGGCTTACGTCAGAAAGCAAGCGCTCGAGCTCTTATTTTCTCGACATCAACCTCTGTTATTAGCTGCTCCGTCCCCGAGCCCAGGCATGGATCGGAATAATGAATTAACACAGAGGTTTGCCTTATTTCTTTTTTTTTGTTTGCTGATGTAAGGCTTTTTGTGAGGCACTCTGCAGTTAACATCTATCCTTTCTGGTGCCAACACAGCTTCTTTATTAAATGAGAGAATGCAATATGGCCGATATTAATCAATCTTTCCGAAGTGGTGCTCACCATTTGGCCCATATTCAGCACTTAACATGCAGATCACGTCCACAAGAATTGGGCAGGAAATTTAAAGAAGAAAATGAATTCACACTAGTCATGAGTCAAGTCTCTGAACCTCAGCTGCTCCCTTGCTGTGAACACAATGACTTCCCGTTGGCCTGTCTTTTTTTGTTCATTTAGGTTTCCTTCGCCTTGTTTCCACCTTGAAGCCAAGCTGTATATTAGAGCAACATTGGTGTTGAGTATAATTGTTTTTGTAAAGAATATAACCTAAATGCTTTGGGTGCTGTCAAAAGACACATTTTTCCCTCTCTGTAACTATACGCTTGGGATAGTCACGCTCCTCTTTGTTGTGTGTATAATATGTTTAATTGGGAAGCGTTTCAAAATGTATTCCTCTCTGTCATAAAGAATGTATGAGACCATGGCCTCTTTCTCATTAATAAAACATAGAGAGTATGTAGATCATATGGGTGATTTGGTATTTTAGACTATGGGACAGTGTTGCTACATGTTATTATTATTATTTTTTTTCAAAAGTTATTGTTTGGTTCTTGACACCAGGTTGGCTCTGTGAGTACGCCACTTGCGTCAGCCTTTTTTAATAGTTTTCACAATAGTACTTGTGTTTTGCAGAGAAACAAGTCTGAACATGAGCGCCGTAACCAGTTTGAATGTTTGCCTGACTGGAATGCTGTATTGAGAGCTTCTATGTGGCTTGTGTCAGCCTAAGCGATTATTGAAAAGGCTGGTGAAGCAGCTGTAATAAAAGCCCAAGTTCCTGCCCCATCAAGTAAAAGCCCGACAGGAACATACCCAGCAGACTGTTAGCAGTTAGCCTCTGCTTTGCATGTGAGCGGTTTGCTGCTCACAGGACTGTTACTGTTCCTGCCCAGTGCTGAGGCGGAGCTGCACAGATGCCAACATGGTAATGAATGATGTCACGACAAAACTGACAACTGAGATGGGAACAACAGGCTTCATTTTTGGCTTGCTATACTTTGTTGTCAGGCTGCCCAGAGAGTGATGGGATTCTGTGCTGCACTTACTGCTGATCTTGCCATAGAAAAGGGTTGAGGCTCTTTGGCCGTTTTCCCCTTTTGTTGGAGCACAAGCACAGCTCTAAGCGTTATACTGCACAGTACCAGGGGGTGTCTTTTTGATAAAGTTTGACATTTTATCCCTGAGAATTCTTCTTCATTTTATAGCAATATAAATTAAAAAATAAAGTAGGTGCAGAGTCTTGTGTAACTGTAGGTCCCATATGGCTCTTTGATTAATGCATCAGCTGTCAACGCAATCCTACACACAATCTGTCCCTCTATAAAACCAGGATTATTGTTATATCATTGGTTTGATGTTATAACAAACATCCTCACTTTGTATCACACATGTTTACAGTAGTCGGGCAACATTTCATATCAATATTTACTGCCAAGTGGTAAATGTGTGATCAGAAGTGTGCAGCAGCAGCATTTGTGCAGGGGCAGGCAGCACAGAGGTAAAATGTAAAGCCAATTAAAGTGTCTTTCATTTTTGTTTGAGAAAATGAGAGCTGGGCACTGTGTTGCCATGGATTTAAAATTGGTTTCTTGGGCTTTTATTTTTTGATCGGCAAAGGGGGGAGTATGAATCGGGATAAAGTGCATGCCCTGTGAATGTTTGTTTTTCTGTGTCTTAACATTTTCTATTCATGCATTGTGGCTGCATTGCATTAGAAAGACAAATGAGGAAGATCTTTAGAGCGTATTCACCCATTGGTGTTTGTCTTGAATAAAGGTCATTTCTGCTAAATACCACAGCAGTTTATATGTCGGTCTGTTTCTCTGTGTATATTTTTGAGTCTTCTCTGAGACAGCGTTTGATGATTAGGTGCAGAGTCTTTGCCCTGGTCAGAAGTAATGGGGCTGCATTAAATTTTTTTTTATCACATCTCTTGTTTTTGCCTGAATTGTCTCCAATGCCCCCTGTTTAAGCAGAAAGCAGCAGCCTGGATTTTAATTGGTCGTCAGAGAAAAAAGCCACTTCAGATGTTGCAACTAACGATTATTTACTCTACTCTCTTACTTTAATTGTCTTGTTTTCTTCCACACCCCAAAGATATTAGGTTTACTGTCAGAAGAGGAAAGAAAACAGAAGATATTAACATTTAAGAAGCTGGAATCAGTCGATTATTCCATTATCAAAGAAGTTACAGATTAATTGAATAGTTGACAACTAATCGATTAATCGTTGCAGCTCTATCTCTCATAAGTTGACTGCCAGTTATATTCCAGCCAGGTATCTTAACTCAGAATGAGCCTGCCTGCAACCTTCTATCCCTCTATTCCAAAAAAATCTAGATTTAAGACTAAAACCAAACAGACCTTTGTTGTGGGAGCACACACTGGGTCGTGTTTGTCTCTCTTGTGTTCTTTGTGCTGCTGGTCTTTTGTTTGCACACTGTATAAGTTGTGTAACTTGTTTGTCTTAATTGTGTTGCTCTCAGTAAAACTGGTTTAATCTTACAGAATGTGCCCACCTGCTGCTGGCCCACAATGCACCAGTGAAGGTGAAGAACGCTCAGGGATGGAGCCCCCTTGCTGAAGCCATCAGCTATGGAGACCGACAAATGAGTGAGTATCCTTGACTGGCTGACTGGCAGTGTTTGATGATACACAGATAGACAGACCTTTGACACCCCACCACCATCGCAACATACTCCCATTTCCACTGCATGGTACGGCTCAGCTCGCTTAGAACCTTTCGTTTTTGGTTTACAATTGGCAAAAGTTGTACATTGTACCAGGTACCTGGTGCTCTTTGTGGTATCACCTCAATCAAGGTTCAAAGTGAGTTGAGCCGATGCTAAAAGGTGGAGTTAAAACACTGCTGAGCGCTGATTGGTCAGACTGAATCGTTACTAGAATTGTCACTTGGGCATCACAGGACATCCTGCACAAATCTGCCATTTTTAAATAGCCAAGCTACCATCAATAGCGACCCCAATTTTTTAGTCACTCGACCCAGAGATTCCTCTGAAAAGGATCCAGCGAAAGTTCCTGTGTTTGTGTTACACTGAAGATGATGATCAAAATGAATCCCGCTGACATAGAGGGGGTTACTTTCTTCAGTGAAAAACGAAATTGAGAAAAGTACCAGGTACCAAAAGTGTGTCGTGTCAATGTGCCGTACAGTGCAGTGTGAATGAGGCTATACTGAGATAATGTTGGTCAGCCAGCTTTTTCACTAAAATCACTGTGGCTTCAGTAGGGTTTGAGTTTGGGTTTTCTCATGTGAAAACAAGTGATCGAGGACAGATAAAGTCTGATCAACAGATGCAAATCAACAGTTGCCTCTGCACATTCTTCTACACTGCTGCCCTCCAAGTGAGGCCATGATGCCAGCCTGCCTCCTTTGTCCCTCAGAGAGAGAGGACATTCCTAAAGGCCTCAAGGCTTTTGTGCTCCGATGAAAAGCAATTCATTAGATGTTTCTCTCTCTCCTCATAGGCTGATTATGCTCAAGCCCCTGCCTCGCACATTTCTCCCCACAGCTCCTAGTGGCTCAAACTTTTTTCAAGAAAAATATTTGCATTTCAAATGGATATATCCACTATTACTAGAAAGCTTTTTTTCTTTTTTACTTTATAGGTGCATTTTTTTCCATTATCTATACAAAGTGCTTGAACATCTGGTCATGGGAAGGTTTCCCTCTGTGCGGTGGAGCTCTGTGTCAGTGGTGATTGACTGATGCTGCAATCTTACATAATGACATTTGAAACACAGCTAAAATCCTGCGAAAAGACAGGCAGGCTAATGTCAGATTTTCTAAAACACATATTAAGTGTCAGTCCATCTAAATGAAAGAGTTGGGGCTTATTAGTGCAGCTGCTTGGCACCAATATTGATCAGTCTACAGGGTTAAAGTGTCTCCATTGACTACATCCTCTAATCAACTCTCTAAAGCCACTTACCGTCCCTGACCAGGTTTACAAGTGTCTCTATTGACTGAAGCCTCTAATGAACTCTGTAACACCATTTTACTTTACTTCAGCTCGTCTGGGCTCATATAGACCACCATGTAACGCAGCTATAATGTGACAGTTTTGAGCAGCTATTTTGCTTCTGCTGCCGTCTCTATTCACCATTGCTCTTACATGCTGATTGCAGCATGTAAGGCTGAGGGAAATGTATACCAAATACTATAAAAGCAATTTACAGCACTTCTTAACAAAACAGAATGTAATGTGAAATTATATGAATGTATAACAATGTCTGTCTATACAAGTATCTAAGGGTTTTCCAGATAGGGTACGAATATAGAATTCACACTTGCTAGCTTTTTCAGGGCTTTCAAACACAATGTCTTCATCAGCAACTATAAAAAAGAAAGGATCAAAACACTAGGAGGTTGTGGAAAAAGCTTCTCCTTATGTTGCTGGAAGGTTTCGGTGCCCCTGTAGCCTTTGAGACTCGATAGGCTGCATTGAGATCGGCTTGAGGGGCACTATTGAAACATCGCTGGGTTGTCCGGCAAAGGAGCTGTGTGCAAGTGCACATTCCTGGTCGATGACTTTGTAACAACGCTGTATTTCTACAGCTTTTACTTTGTGATTGTTGTGACAAAAGAAAGAAGAAATGTTTGCTGAGTTGTAAAACCCTGTCTTATAGTATTATAATAGTAACTGTAATAGTGTTGTGGTACGTGAAATGCTTATCTATTATAAACTCAAACTGGACTTCCTGGATTGTATTTCATCTGTCTAACTACGCAGCCCGCTACATTGTTTAAACGCAGGGCTGACTTCGGTCTGAATGCCCTCTAAACGCTCTCTGTTCAAAAAGGCACAAATTATTTTTTCATTGTCAGAGCAGCTATGGCTCTGGACATTATAAGGCAGATTTGCACCACGAGAAGCGCCAAACAAATAGTGATTCAAACACCTCCGTTGAATACAGTTCCGGGAAAGTGCAAATTCACCTGGACTGTCCCCGCTTTTCCTGGATCCAGACCAGGGCGAGGAGTTTGTAGGCCAGAGCTTACTGGCCAGGCCTGCATCTGTCTGCTGCTTCAGGAGATGACTAGACAGGCAAATGCTCAGTCTGCTGGCAGACAGGTACAGTAGGTCAGCTGACAAAAGGAACTGCAGCTTCTGTTGCACTGAGCTAACTGAGAAGGACTGTTTGCCTCTTTGTGTTCTTTAATGTTGCTCAAAAGTACAGGGCAGGGCCTCTGTTGAGTCTTCACACTGTAAACGATCACACTTGGCCTTCCACACATTTACCTGGCTGCCACGATGACATGAAAGGAGAAAGGTCCTGTTGGAAACTGTGACCGTGTCAGCGCAATAAATGTTGAGGCCTTTACAGGCTTAGCCAAGCAGCGCGCTGCCTAGCAGTTATTCAGTATGAGTCAGCGTCCGTCAGGAGTCTGGGAGGGAAGTGAAGACCTAGGAGCTTTGGCAAATGTCCGGGCCTGCAAAGTGCTGAAAACTGGTAACATTATTTTGATCCATAGATATTGTCAGATTAACCTGTGTCATTTCAAAGCAAATGTTTTCTTGAAGGGATTAATAAAAAAAAATGTAACTCAGTGCTCTCGCTGTGTTATTTTTAGCCAATGTTTTTGACCATGGATGTCCACGTTTATTTTGGCTGGAATGTGATTTGATGTATTTGTCACCGTAGTTTTGTCACATGTGGCTTTCCACTTGAACAAGGAGGCAAAATGTGGCTCAAAAATAGAAATAGTTTTGTTCAAAAAGAGTTATTTCGGTCCTCAGTTGCTTTCCACTCACACAGCTGTGTTGTCAGCTTGTTTAAACGCTGGCACAGTCATCGGACCTGTCGTGGAAATTGTCTGCAAGCACTCAACGCATAATGAAAACACTGACGGGTTGAAGATTAAAATACAGTGGTATGAAAAAGTTATTGCCCCCTTCCTGATTTCTTATTTTTTTGCATGTTTGTCACACTGATATGTTTCAGATTGTCAAACAAATTGAAATATTAGAAAAAGATAACACAAGTAAACACAAAATGCAGTTTTTAAATTAAGGTTTTTATTATTAAGGGAAAAAGATCCAAACCTACATGGCCCTTTGTTTGATCTGAAACATTTCAGTGTGACAAACATGTAAAAATAATAAGAAATCAGGAAGGCGTCGAACACTTTTTCACACCACTGTATATTGTACAAAATGGAGAACATTCCTGCAGAGGTCAGAGGATGTGTCTCCTCATTTGTTCAGTGCAGTACACTTTTATAGCATTCAAGACAAGAAACACACCATAACACACCATAATTACGCTGACATAACAAAACACATGTACAGCATCTGGTCCCTCTCAGAGCATGACCACAATAAACACAGACAGTTATTCTCAGGGACCATACTTACAATAGAGAAATGAGCATGTGGCAGGTGGTTAATAGAATGACCATGTGATCAAACTTAGGGTTCACACTATTTTACTTTCACAGACCATATTATAAATGTACAAGATCAAGTGACGAAAATAGATGACATCTTTGTCTCTTCAAAGACCAGGGGAAAGTAAGGCTGTGATATCAATTTCAAAATTTAATTTTCTTATTTATTTTTTCCTTGAAAAGCATTGTGGTTAGGCCTGGTGTGACGATTACAGCCAATTTAGCTAGTAAACATTTGGAAGATCCGTAATATTGTAAATTCCCTATATGTTGGTGACTAGCCCGTACCTAAGCCTTCCACAGCTTTAGTATTAGACTTACCACCAAATACTATAGTTTCATAGTTCAAACACAGTCTACCTCTGACTAAATAATATCAAAACAGAGTGTTAAAACAAAATAATAATGCCTGAATTGGCTAGATCAACCATACTAAACATATTAGGTGGTGATGGAGCAATGGATAAGACTATGCCTTTGGTATGAGAGACCCAGGTTCAATGACTCATCCACCAATGTGTCCCTGAGCAAGACACTTAACCCCTAGTTGCTCCAGAGGCGTGCGACCTCTGACATATATAGCAATTGTAAGTCGCTTTGGATAAAAGCGTCAGCTAAATGAATAAATGTAAATGTACTAAAGGTTAACTAACTCCTCCCCCCCCACAACATTTCTGCATACTTTTTGAAAGCAGCTTGCTATTTTTAATCAAACATTTATAGCTCTCCATCCTGCATCTGGTGTGTTATCTTTAGTTAATGTGGCCGTTTTGAGGCTCTTTAGATGTCTTGTAAACTTGTAGACTGACGCCTCAGTAAGTTTAAATATTTGAAACTATATCTAGATTATCCTGTTGCTGCTGCCTGCCTGCTTTGCTCTACGACACACTGACTCCACAGTGTACCTGTGTCAATATTGACTGTTCTCAGATTGTTGGGCACCTGCCAGCACCAGTTGTACACTTAGATCTAAGGCCTAATTGTTAAATAGTAGCAGTTTGTGGTGTAAATACAAACGTGTCCTGACTTTGTCTCTTTTTTATTAATACGTAGAGGTGAAATCACTCACCTCATTAATATCAGGAAAGTGCCCTAATCAGTATCTGCCTAAATTAGCGCCAACATGGAGTGTCAGTTTGGTTTAGTGTAACAGCATTCGGCATTGCTCTTTGGGCAGATGGTGAGATTGTAGTCCTTTCCTTGTCCTGCTGAGAGGCAGCAAGGATCAGGCCGAGTCCCATCCAGGGCTTGTCCACACTCATTAGGCAGCCAGGCCACAAAGACACCCTCTTCCTGTACTTGTGTCTGTGTCAATTGGCGCATGTGTTGTCATGTGTATCAGTGTGCGTGCATGCGGGCCTGTGCTCTCATTTAGCCTTGTTTTACCATCAAGCCCTCCTCCCCCTCTGGGCTGCCTAGTGGGGAGCGCCATTCAGACAATATGAACATGTTTGTGTATGTTGACTCATCATGAGGAGCACAGGAGCTAGTTAGGCTAATGATTAGACCATATGTCTGCTATTGCTTTTAGTCCTATTAAAATGCAGGACAGTCTGGGTCTGTCACAAGCCAAGCATTTTCTTTTTTAATTACTGTTTTCAATGACTTTCTAAGTGACACAATCAAGTTGTCATTCAATCCCCTGCTGGCTTAATCAAAGCCCCACAATTTTGTCAGTGCACAACTGTTGCTCCCACTCCCCTTATAAACAATAATATATAATAAATAAATAATAATATTTAAATAAATGTTTGCTAGTTGTATGTGGTTCCTTTTCCATTTTTGCATAAACAAGCAAGTTTCCTGTGGCCAATGGGCTGAAGAGCTGTGAATGCTAGTTAATCTGACCCGTCTTGTTTAAAGGTCTCTCCCCCAGGTTGTTAAGTAGGTAAAAGGCACAGCTCATTAGCAGATGAGCCAGGCAGCATATCTGCTGTTCCCTTTGAACATGCTGGAACGTTTTTGATCCCTGCAGGCGGCGTGCAGGGATCAGTGCGATGCTGCTGTGAGTGCCCCATCTGGCCCCAGGAAGTCAGCATAGCTCTGAACCTAAAGCCATCGCCTCTGTAAACTGCGGGATCTTTGCTTTCAGCAGTGTGTCATTGTTTACAGGATTTGCATAGTGAGTGAGTCTGTTCCTAAGATAACGTTGGTGACTTATAGTACATTCACACTGCCAGTATGTACTCCTGTCATTCAAAAAGCAGCCTGTTACAAACTGAAACATTCAAAATGGAAACAGGACCACAAAATCTACAACAATCCCTTTTTTTTACAGTGCTACATTAATGCAGCATTTATGCACCTTAAAGAAGGCTATTGTAGAGATTGTACAGCAACAACAGCTGACATGTTGAACACCTTCTTTACATTAAAATGAATGAGGAGGGGCTGCATGACATGCAGAAGGCACATGCTCAAAAAAAGCTCCTTATGGAAGAAATCAGGTTAAATGTTTCAAAAAATATATAATAATAATAATCATGATTAAGGAGAAGCTGGTTTTCATGGCATGCACAACAAGAGCAATGTGGTGGAAAGAAATTTGCTTTTGAATATAGTGAATAAGTCTACTACGTCTTGGCACGAGTTAAGTGGTGGGATCAGTTTCAGCATATCCAAAGGTGATTTGAAAAGAATCACAGTCGGCTGTTATGGGAATAAATGACATGCATCCAATAGACCTTTTCATCATTTTTGAAGTGGAAAAGGTTCTTCGACGATTGCTTTGTGCAGCAAAAAGCTTCCTCATTGTTGGTGCTTTTGTTCTCACTTAATCTCTCTTTCTCTTTTTGTTTCTCGTTCAGTCACAGCGCTGCTGAGGAAGCTTAAGCAACAGTCCAGAGAGAGTGTGGAGGACAAGAGGCCCAAGCTGCTGAAAGCCCTGAAAGAAGTGAGCGGTCTTTACTCAGTTGATGCTGTTTCTCTTTTCCCCTCATCAGATCTTCTTACTTCTCTTTCTGCTCTCATCTTGTTGTCCCTTTTATAGCTCCTCTTTTCTTGTCTTGATTCCTCCTCTCCTGTCCTGTCCTCTCCTATCGTTGCAAATACACAAACATCCCTCCCAGAAATCAGTCGAGTTTGTCATTCACGAATTACTTCATCACAACAAAGCAAAGCCAGGAGGGACACACAGACACACAAGGCTGTTTAAGGCTAAATGAAACCTCACAGTTTTTTTGTGGCTGCATGGTATGACGCACACGTATGCATGTAACTACTAACAGACGTGCTGTTTAGAGTTGTGACTATCCTTCAGGGTTTGTTGTGGCTGTCTGCCTGACATGATGTCTCTCTCTCACACACACACACACACACAGTAAACATTTAGTCATGTACAGCCTGACATGTAAACTTTTCTGAGCATCTAACCGAGGAGCCTTGCTGAATCGTTGTTGCTGCCTCACTTGAAGTTATGGAGGCCAAACTTGTAGGCGTAATCATCTGGCGATTTTAGCTTTTCAGGTCAGCGGTGCAGCAACATTGCCCCCACAGGAGAGTCAGGGAGCAAGTAAGCAGATGGGCAAATACAAAAGCAAAAGAGCAACATATCTAAAACCCTGTGTTTTTAACCGCATTTAAGAGGTCACTATTAGCAAAAGCTTGTTTCATTGGATTTCCACCGTCAGCCTTCATGTAAATGCCACAAGTTGACACTCAGGCGAGGCTACATTTGACTTGACAGGTCGCGATCCTTCCTGGACGATGAGGCAGAGATGCTGGAGATGTGATTTTTCTGTGTCATCCTTTCTCAGAGATTATAGCTCTGGGAATCGATGATCTCCTTCCAGACTGACGTCATCACCGAGTGCCAGATTGAGACCACCGGTGGTGCTGATGAGATCATCTCATCCCACCGTTGTACCTCACAGGATAATTAGGCTGTATTGATTTGAGTCAGTCAAGCGTGATTTGTTATGGATGTACATAAAGGCTCATGTTTACTCAGGTCCATGGAAGCTGAAAGGCTTTTATACACATTTTGATTTCTATTCTGCAAAGAAGTCTTTTTTATTGTTTGTAAAATTGGTCTAGTTTCTAATTTTTGCTGCATGCACATACAAGCCAGCAACAGATATGTAACTTCTGTATAACCCTGTTTTTCCACCTTTTCCTCTCGCCTATTTTCACTTGGGATTAACATTTCTTTCTCTTCATTTGCAGCTTGGAGACTTTTACTTGGAGCTTCACTGGGACTTTCAAAGCTGGGGTGAGTCAAGCAGCACCTTTTGCTGGGTTGCGATAGAGAGGTTGACAAGACATTATTCTCTGTAGAAATGAAGCATGTTTCCTCAGTAAGGGTGAAGTCTGAAACACCAACAGAAGAATGTGTTACAGACAGGAAGGTGTGATGCAATCTGTCGACGTCTGTCTGGTTAGTGAGTGTAGTGACTGTTAGTCACCAGTGGCTGCAGGCTGAAAATCACTCCTCCTGCTGGACATGAACGGACACACACCATCCTCTAATGTCAATGTCCCTCCTCATATGACCGTCAGGAATATCTGCCAATAACAAAAGGAGAATTTATTCTCAAGTTGCACTGAATTTACACATAATTTCACTGTTGGCAGATGAAATCAGACGTGCATCCACGGGCTAAATTCTGTATACTTTGTGAATTATTGACAAGGTGAGCAAGATTATGTAATAGACGCACCATAGTAACTAAATGTAAACTGGTTGCATAACAGTGTATTTGTAAATGGAAATCTGATGTGGTGACAAAAAGTATATATGTAAGATTTACAGTGGATAGAAAAAGTCTACACACCCCTGTTAAAATGCCAGGTTCTTATGATGTAAGACAAAGATAAATCATGTCAGAACTTTTTCCACCTCTAATGTGACCTATAATGTGAACAATTCAATTGAAAAACAAACTGAAAGCTTCGAGGGGGAAAAATTAAAAATAAAAACCTTACAATAAACTGGTTGCATAAGTGTGCACACCCTCTTATAACTGGGGATGTGGCTGTGTTCAGAATTAACCAAATCACATTCAAACTCAGGTTAACTAGAAGTCATTACATACCTGCCATCATTTAAAGTGACTCTGATTAATCACAAATAAAGTTCAGCTGTTCTAGTAGGATTCTACTTTTCTTAGTTGCATCTCGGAGCAAAAGCCATGGTCCGCAGAGAGCTTTCAAGCATCAGAGAGATCTCATTGTTGAAAGACATAAGTCAGGAGACGTGTACAAAATAATTTCCAAAGCATTAGATATACCCTGGAACACAGTGAAGACAGTCATCATCAAGTGGAGAAAATATGGCACAACTGTGACTTTACCAAGAACTGGACGTCCCTCCAAAATTGATGAAAAGACGAAAAGAAAACTGGTCAGGGAGGCTTCCAAGAGGCCTACAGCAACATTAAAGGAACTGCAGGAATTTCTGGCAAGTACTGGCTGTGTGGTACATGTGACAACTATCTCCCGTATTCTTCATATGAATGGGGTAGGGTGACAAGACGGAAGCCTTTTCTTACAAAGAAAAACATCCAAGCACGGCTGAAGTTTGCAAAAACAAACATCAAGTCCCCCAAAAGCATGTGGGAAAATGTGTTACGGTCTGATGAAACCAAGGTAGAACTTTTTGGCCATAATTCCAAGGAACACCATACCCACAGTGAAGCATGGTGGTGGCAGCATCATTCTTTGGGGCTGTTTTTCTTCAGCTGGAACTGGGGCCTTAGTCAGGATTGAGGGAATTATGAACAGTTCCAAATATCAGGCAATTTTGGCACAAAACCTTCAGGCGTTTGGTTGGAAAGCTGAAGCTGAAGAGGAAGAGGAGTTCACCTTTCAGCACGACAACGACCCAAAGCACACATCCAAATCCACAAAAGCATGGCTTCACCAGAAGAAGATTAATGTTTTGGAATGGCCCAGCCAGACCTGAATCCAATTGTGAACATCTGTGGGGTGAACTGAAGAGGGCTGTGCACAGGCGATGTCCTCACAATCTGACAGATTTGGAGCGCTTTTGCAAAGAAGAGTGGGCAAATATTGTCACGTCAAGATGTGCCATGCTAATAGACTCCTACCCTAAAAGACTGACTGCTGTAATAAAATCAAAAGGTGCTTCAACAAAGTATTAGTTTAAGGGTGTGCACACTTCTGCAACCAGGTTATTTGAGGGTTTTTATCAAAGATTTGTTTTTCAATTGAATTGTTCACATTAAAGGTGGAAAAAGTTCTGCCATGATTTATCTTTGTCTCATTATTTTACATCACAAGAACCTGGCATTTTAACAGGGGTGTGTAGACTTTTTCTATCCACTGTACGACCTTAGAGAGGAATCTGGTTTATACCAACACAGTCTCAGGGATCTGAGACTGTCAGAGGGATGACTACATGTGGTGCTCTGCTGGGTTTTCAGCCACTTACTTTTTTTTTTCAATGCAGTCCTTCACAAAACTATTTTGGACTGTTACAAAACCTGGTGAGGACTGTGAGCTGTTAAATATTTAGCTACACACTATATGGCCCTCTAGTCTACAGAGCTATAGGCTTTGAAGAGGATGGTCTTCATAATTGAGTGAGCTTTCTAAATTTAAACATTGCGTCACGTGTCCTTACTGTATCTTTTCATGTTGCAGTGCCTTTGCTCTCCAGAATCCTGCCTTCAGATGCGTGTAAGATCTACAAGCAGGGCCTCAACATCAGGCAAGTCCTGTCAACACATGTAATGCATTAGGAGAAAATTTTTGATGTTTAATGGCAAAGAAAAGCAATTCTACAGCCGCCGCGTAACGCACCACATAGAAACCACATCAAATTAAACAGTAATTCCTCAATGGTCTTAGCACTCGTCTTGTGCCGCATGTAACAACCTCTCCTCTTCCTCCTCTTAACCTAGTTTAGTTAACTAGAGTGTGAAATCAGTGCCTGGCAGCATAGGGAAGCTGAACGGCGACGCCTCTGCGCTCAGATCTTTTACGTCTGTATTTTTTGATTTAAATCCCCGGAGCCCCGATGAAGGAGAATTACAGTAGTGTCTAATGTGCTGCCTATCTCACTCACAAAGGGCGTCAGCAGAAATTCATCATACTCTGACGCATGCTGACATGCACTCACAACAATGAATCTTCAGAAGGAGTCCACGTTGCTGCGTTTCATGGCCTTGTGGGTAAAATGCTAACACCAGGCAGTGTTCAGCAGCCTCGAGGTTCAGCTCTTGCAGCTAGGGCATATGCACACACATCAACGCATGGAGTATTGCTAATGGGTCACACGTGCGACAAACCAGGGCAGCCCTTTATCCGGCACATCCGCGGATGCTTCTGTATTTGGGTATCGTAACATATCTAAATCTGTTTGAAGGATGAACCCTGTACATAAAAGAGTGTGTTTGTGCCTGTGCGTGCTCTTCCTGTATGAGATACCCTTGATGTGGAGCATGTCATTATTCTCTGAAACTGCTCCTGGCTGTCTCATTTGGTATTCAAAATGCCCCCTTATTATCACGGAGTTGCAGGGAGAGAACCAGAGAAAGAGACGGCGAGAGAGTGAAAGAAAAAAACTGTCACAGCAAGTTCATTTACATTCTGGTGCAACAGCCTGTCAGGCCTGTCATACCCATAGCACCTAGCGCTTTGTGTCTGGTCTTCACAAGCAGATCAGTTATTCTCTTTGCTGCCATGCCTCATTCCCGGACTACCCACTTTGACAAAATAAATCAAAAAAAGAAATATTCTTGAAATGTGTTGTTGGTCTCCCATTGAAATGATTACCATATACATTATCTCTAAACTTTCAGAGCAAAGGGGTGACATTTTTGTTTCCTGCTTACCGTTGTGAGGCTGTGTTTACTTGTGTCTCGCAACTTACCAAATTTAAACTCTGCTCAGTGCTTTTGGTCTCATCATCCTCTGTTTTCTTTACCTTGTTTGGCTGTCCTCTCCTTTCATGTGTCTAAAGTTGCCACACTGAACCTACTCTTATGTGTGTAGATTGGACACTACCCTGATAGACTTCACAGACATGAAGTGTCAGCGCGGTGACCTGAGTTTTATCTTCAACGGCAATGCCATCCCTTCCGAGTCTTTTGTTGTGCTGGACAACGAGCAGAAAGTCTACCAGCGGATACACCATGAGGTGTGTGACGCGCATGCTGATATAACACTGAAAGGCTAAAGCCTCACTTGCGGCCCCTGAAGCTTGCAGTGTTCATTACAACCCACATTTAGGGCTGCAATTGACAGTTCTTTTCATCATTAATCAACCTGCCAATTATTTTCTCGATTTATCGTTTTGTGTACAAAATGTGAGATTGCTATATTTTCTCACAGTCATAAAAGTGTGTTGTTTTATCCAACTAACAGTTTTAGCTCAAAGATATTCAGTCGGCTGTCACTTAAGAGCATGAAAATCAGCAAACGCTCACATTCGAGAATCTGGAACAGACAAATGTTTGTTATTTTTACTAATTGATCATCAGAATAGTTGCATTCATTTTCTGTAAATTGACTAATCATTTAATAGTTTTAGCTCCACCGCATTACTTAACTTTTGGTTGAAAATAACAAGAAATAAACAACATGGCGGTGTTCCTACATATTTTTATATTTCTCATTTCCATCAAGTGGAAAATTCAATTCAATATGCTTTATTGGCATAAAAATTTAAGTTAAACAATGTTGCCAAAGCAGTTTGCAGCAAAGTCACAAAGTTTACATTTTGAAAATAACATAACAAGACTTAATGCAATCATGACCAAAGTGTTGGAGGAACCAACAGGCATCAACATGATTTGTTCCCATTGCTAGTGGAGGAAAAGATTATAACTGGTAATAACAGGAAGTTCTTTCCTATCATAGCAACGGTAGGAAATGATTATCATACAGATGTTACAAGCTTTTTCTACTCGGCTATGATTTACTAAATGTTGAACATATACAGATTATATTGGCTGGAAGAATACTAAAATCACTGGTCCTGGTGCTACGCTGGTAGTGTAAAACAGAAAACTCCTCTGTGTTGATTTACAATCCAAGTTTCTGCACATCAATGTTGCAGCAACACAAAGCCTATTTTTTTGGGGTGTTCAAATGGCTAGTTATTGTTAGCAGTCTTTATGAGTGAACGGACACATCCGGTGCTGATTTCCACCTCATACTGAGCGTCCATGCCTGTGTTGGTGCCCCAGTAGTTTCCTAACACTGCCCTGTATGTTCAGGAGTCGGAGATGGAGACAGAGGAGGAGGTGGACATTCTGATGAGCAGCGATGTGTACTCCGCCACGCTCTCCACCAAGTCCATCACCTTCTCCAGGGCGCAGACCGGCTGGCTGTTCAGAGAAGACAAGACGGTTGGTGTCAGCTGTTCCTGATATTATTACTACCACTGCCACCACAGCGTTTCCAAAGTCAGGAAGGGTTTTACCTTGATGTGGAATTTGTAGAAATCTTTAGTAAACTTGACCCAGACAGAAACTTGGGAATTTGATAAATTCGCTGGGGAAGGCAGGAAATGGAAAGTAAACAAAACACAGGGATCAGTACACAGATGTGTATCAGAATGTGTTTTACAGGTAACACCACTTTGGTTTACTCAAAAGGAGCCCAGACTTCTCTGACCTGAAAAACAACATGGACAAACAAATAGGGATAAAATATTTTAAGGCTCTGACAGTGCTCTTTTAAAAAAAGCCACAGAAAGAGATGGATGCACTCTTTCTCTTTATTTTTACTTGACTTTAAAAGAAAAAAATGCCAGTAAAATAAAGTTTTGCAGGTAAATTGGCAGTAGTTTGAAAGGTCTGGACTAAAGTAGACAGGAGACAGGACATGCTGTCTTTTTGTTCTTTTTCCTACGCTACAAACATGTACCAGACAGGAAAGACATAAATAAAATAAAGGAAGGAACCACAGGTGATAGGCTCAGAGATCAAATCAACACAGACTGGGCAAGGTGGGGGAATGAAGGCGGAGAATGAGTAATGTGGGTATTGCTTTCTGTCCTCTCACTCCTTTGTCCTTTTGACATGTGTTTAAGGGGAAATTGGTGACTCACTTGGCGGGGGGGCTTATCTAACTGTTTCTTCTACCTCCAGGAGCGTGTGGGAAACTTTCTGGCAGATTTCTACTCCGTGAACGGCCTGGTGCTGGAGTCCCGGAAGAGACGCGAGCATCTGAGCGAGGAGGACATCTTGAGGAACAAAGCCATCATGGAGAGCCTTAGTAAAGGAGGGAATCTCATAGAGCAGAACTTTGAGGTGAGTTGGGCACCGAATATATATGGCTGATTGTCAATTGTCATTGGATGATGGAGTTCGGCTATTACATCAAATTTACAGCCACAAGTCCGCCACCATCATCACCCATGATGTGATTGTTGAGGTTATGGGACCCCATGGAGCATCACGTCGCAAACACTGTATCATAGATTTGTGCTTGAAACCTGCATGTTGATAACATGACATTACATGGTAACAAATATGGCTAACATCCACCTTGACATTCTTAAAAGAAGACACTGAATCCTTAGTGACTTCCACAGAGCTGCTATGTAGCTGACTCTATGTAAAGTCTGTACTTCTAGGGAATGTCCAGTGTCAGCAGATCAGAACACTGTAGATTTAAGGATTTCTGATCACTCTGACTCTTATTTTATTGTAGAATCTTTGACCACTTTGAAATTTTCTGATATTAAACCAACCAACCATTGACCAAAAAGCTCCAGGAACTATGGAACCAGAGGAACTACACTCAGGAACTAAACTAGGAACTAAAGCCACATTTCCACCGAAAGTACCTAGAACCTTTAGTGCCAGGAACAGATTTCCTAGCAACTGAAAGGTTCTTTCAGCCTATTGTGTGCGTTTCCACTGCGGTCTAAGGACCTGCGAAGATTAGGCAAAATAACCAGCTCATGTATGTTTTTACTCTGATGTATGCAACGTATGCCATACAGAGTGATGGAGAGGCATCCTTATTTATGCGACACTGCAGCATCACCATGGAGGAGATTCACATTGTCAGTAAGGCCTGGACTACATCGTCGGTCCATCTGTCGTTTGATTTCTTCTCCATAAGTTCAACTGTTGATCAAGCACAATAAAACTCCTTTACTATACGCTGAGGACGGCCGCAGGCATTTAGAAAATGTTAAGCACTGCAAGCCCCCCCCAAAGTTCTGATCCTTTTGGAGCTGGGACTCCGTAATACGGGGGTAAAAAAAAGTCTTGTTCACTCGCTTTCTTCTCAACATCGCTCCCTCTCTCATTTACAAAGCCTTACTTTTTAAACGTTAGTAATATTAATGCACCAGTGGCTCCCGTTGCTCCCTTGTTTCGTGAATGAAGCGGTACAAGAGAAAGATGCACATTCAAAGTTACTTAGTGACTCACTGCTGGGAACTTTTTAGCAAAAATGAGAACCAGTTGGAGCACTGCTCTGATAAACATCCTGTTTACTTATACCTGCAGCGTAACCACCAGTCCAGTTCTGAAACTGTGCTGTCCCGCTGGAACCTCGGGGTATGAGTCTCTCAAACAAAATAAACCTCACAGTTCTCACTGCTGATAAATCCCGTAGAAACAGCATGAACGTCCGGCCAGACTCTGTCCATCAACTTTGCATGGTTTATTGAAAAATTCCTGTCGGACTCCCCGCTGTTGTTTCTTTGATGTTTTATTTGTTTCAGACATGAAAACTGCTGCCCCTAATCACTGTTATTTATGAGATAGGTCCACCACCCCCCTCCTCGTCCAATATGCATGGATTTGAGTCCAAGCCCTGCCACCTAGTGGTGAAAGCTACAAAGCTGCACCTCATTCACAGGGATGGCTCTCCCAATCACCCTTTCACTACAGTATGTTCCAGACTTTGCTTAGCAAGCCTTGTCTAAACACTGAGCATAAAGCCAGTCACACAGTGAAGACAATGCCTCTCGACACTCAATGGATGCCTTTCAACTGCTCGGGTTGTTTTTTGTCGACTCCCCCTTGTTCTGTGCTCTGCTTTGTTTTATCACAGTGTCCTCTGTTGTCTGTCAGTCTATTTACACTCATTTGAATCAGTGCCCACTCATGTTGAAAGTGGGGGAAAAAAAGAAAGCTGTGATAAAAAACTGTGTTTCAGTGGGTGTCAATGTGGAAATAGTGTCTCCTTCCACCCCAACGGAAAATGAGACATGGAAGCGGGTGAGAGTGAAAATAAGCAACTGATGTGACGTAGCTTTGTTTACCACAGCGAGGGAGAGCAGGTCAGCTCTGCGCCTGTGGACACAGGGAAGCGTGGGTGGCTTTCAAACAGGGCTTGACACTATTGATCACATGGATGAAGGCTAAAACCCCTGGTGCCATGGAATGATGGAGGGGTGGGACCGGCATACCAGCAGATCAGGGCCTCCGCAGGCTGTGTATACTCTGTCCTCGTCACAACAACACGTGATGCACGCGGTGTGAGAGCGAGCGCTTAAAAAAGGCTGCGGGCCCGCAGTGGGAATGAAGGAAAGAAGTCATTTCCATTTTCCAATTCGCACCACATAGCAATAACTCTTGGCACAAAACGGTTGTCCCCTTCATCCACAACAGTTTCCCACATTATTCTGCCCTTAGTTGCCTTGTTTAACCGCGGCTTACAAAAGAGGTCAGCTGGTGTGAATGCTGGCAAGAACAGTGAGTTCATTTTAGGAGAAAGTCAATTTTAGGAGGAACAGGATAGAGCTCATCCCAGTTCTCATTCAGGGTCAGCAAGAACAGATTGTCCGATCTTAAAATAAACTGACGCTGAAGGAGACAGTTTATTGAGGAAAGCTGAGTCGAGATTATTTTCCTCAGGAGGTTTATATTATTTGATATGAGGGGGAAACTCTTCTCTCCAAAACGCCCAGATAAAAACAAGTAGGTTTCTTTTATGTTGCTTGTTGTCACAGCAGATAATAAAAATGATCAGAAAAGCTGGTTCTGATGGTGGTCTGTCCTGGGAAGCACTACAGGTGACTCTGACTGAAGTTTCAAATGGTTGTGCATAATAAAGGCCACTCATAGCAGAGAATTTCGAATGGAAGTTTGTTCAGTGACGAGACTTTTGTTCCAGCAGTCACATTTTTTAACAACTGGAAGCAAAACCTGCAGTACGGCTGGGTAAAACCTACTTTTGCTTATGATGATCTTTCAGTATCCTTCTGCATCCTTTGGCTTATACATTGGGCCATTCGTACATGACAGATCAAGATGTTTAATTCTGTTTGGAAGCATTTCCTGCTGATAATCATATGAGTGCTTTCATTTTTATTTTGTTTTGTTTTGTTACAGCGACAGTCTTGTTTATCCGTCAGTCCATGAGTTGCTTACTCCTTCTTGCTGTAGATGTTTTGTTAGCACATGTAAAGCAACAACTTTTTGTCTTGAGGCAGCAGAGAAAGTAAATGGCAAAAAAAATGAAAACTACTGAAATTGTGGCATCTTCAATTTGTAAAGTTTCTCACCGCTCAGCAAACGTTCAGGATGAGCTGTAAATGAAACAGACTGCAATCTGAGATGATGTGTTTTACTTACTGCTGTATTTGTAGAAATGGAAACCTTTTTAAATTGTGAACATGAGCAAAAACACTGCTGTTGAGGAAGTAAAGCCACAGAAACATTATCATGTCTCAGGTTTTTGTCTCTACAGATGTTTAGTGGTGTACTAAACTATAGTAATTCAGCTATACTGCATGTGTGAGGCTCATTAGGCCAGAGGTTACTGCGGGTTTAGTGATGCACCGGCGCCCTCTGTAGGCCTGTACTGTGCATGTCATTGCTCTGTGGGAGTAAATTAAGAAAGGCTGATAGTGTGGTGAAAACTTAAAATTATATTGAAGAGATTCCACTTTATTACATTAGGTCATTTTATGACTTTTGTCAAATTGGCTGTTGGTCGGAAGTTATGTCACAGATTTGACAAATTAACAGTTTTAAGAACACAGATGGGTTAAACTGAATGTTAGACTGTTCTCAGTATAATGACTTACCATTACGTTTTGTCTGCCATCAGTGTCACTTTGGACCTTTTGTTTTGTATTCTTGTGTTTTTTAATGTGTGGCCCTGCAGTGGTTGGTCTTTAGATTAATGTGTTTTTATTTGTTTGTTTTTTCTCTTTCTCTTCAGCCAACGAGGAGGCAATCTCTGACTGCCCCGTCACCCAACACTATATCCTGGGAAGAATACATCAGTGCTGACAATGGAAAGTATGTGTCCAAAAAAATTGAAGACTACCTTTTTAGACACTTACAGAGGAATCAATCCAGACTATTATGGGGAACTAATGTTAATCCATAGACTAGTATTATATTTGTGAATGAAGGAACTAAATGTCTGACTGTCCTTTCAAATGAGGCACTAATTTAGTTTTCCTCTCTAAAAGAATGGAAAGTTAGATTTTTAACATTAATTACATTAATCACAAAGGGTCGTGTTCAGTTAGTTTAGAAGACATAAATGACAGAAAGCAGAGTGAGTTGCTTCTAAAAATTTCAAAACTATAATACTATGGAAGATTTCTGCTGAATAAAGTAAGTGTAAGCTCTTCCTCCGTGAGCTGCCTTCATCGTGAGATTACATTCTCACTGGTTGTTCTTTCCCTCTACCCTCAGAGCACCCCATCTGGGAAGAGAGCTGGTCTGCAAAGAGAGCAAGAAAAACTTCAAAGCCACGATAGCCATGAGTCAAGACTTCCCTCTGGGCATTGAATCGTGAGTCTTCTCTTTAACTTGGCATCCAGACTATTGTTCAAACGCAGGGAGCGATCATGTTATTTTCTCCTGACATGTGCATTGTGGTGATAAAAAGGGAAATACCTAATTTGTGCAAATGACGGAAAATCTGCTTTGCATTTATAGGTTATGTTTTTGTTTTTCTGTTTTAAATAGCTTTTAACTTTCTAATTACTAATTGTTTGTCAGTCTGCAGTGTGTTACAGGACTGTCCTGTGGAGCTTACTGATATAACTTTGTTGATATAAGTAGCAAATTAAGTTAATACTGTCTAACAAAATATGCCAAAAATTACATACAGGTATGATTCACAACCAGTGTGTGTTTTAGCCGTTAAGTTTGTTGGTAGTTTCTTGTCTGTAACCATTTGTTGGTTTTGTTCTCCCTCAGGTTACTGAATGTTCTGGAGGTAATTGCACCCTTCAAGCACTTTAATAAACTCAGGGAGTTTGTTCAGATGAAGCTCCCCCCTGGCTTTCCCGTCAAACTTGGTAAGCAGATGTAATTCAAAGAAATGTGTAAATTAGATAGAAAAGCTTTTTTTCTCTCCTCATTTAAAACATGGACCAAAATCTACTGCAGAGCGGTGTACAGTTTCAAAATATGCACCTAAGATTTGCAAATATATAATTGTAATTCTGCTCCTGTCACCCTGCAGACATTCCTGTCTTTCCTACGATCACAGCCACGGTGACGTTTCAGGAGTTTCGCTATGATGAGTTTGACGAGTCCATTTTTACCATTCCCAACGACTATAAAGAAGACCCTAGCCGCTTCCCCGACCTTTAACCTCTCAAGCTGGAACAGGAAACAAACATGCAACAAGGCAACAGTGTGCTACAAAACATAACTTTCTGAATTACAAAAGGAAAATTTGGAGTGAAAAAACAGCGCCCATCGTTTCTTGACAGTTTATGGATTCCGTCGCCCATCTCGACCCTGAATACAGACCGCAAACAAGACGATCAGACTTTGACATACATGACAAAAATGGCGTCTTCAGAGCTGATGGAGGCCCACTGTGGCAGAGAGGTTCCACATCTCATCGTGTTAACAGTGTTTTGAAGTGTAGTGTTGCAGGTTCTCACTCTCACCATCAGATTTGGTTTAATCCAGCCATCCGAGGCAGGAAGTGCGAGTAACTTGAAGCCGAGAGTCTGAACCGCTCATCAGTGAAAGGGCATTGAAGTTTAAACGAGTGACAGGAGAGCAGGTGAGTTCTCTGTTTACCCGGTATAAGCAGAAGACGGTCAACCAGTTCATTTGATGCTATTATTTAAGTATGTAAATAATGTTTATAAAGGGAATGTTTTTAACTGACTTGTAGTAAAGCACTGATACTACTTGTGACACAAAGGGGAGGAATTCCCACAAACTGACTTTTTAGGTTATTTTTCCTGCTTAAATAGACTTTGTCAAGTTGTCAAGTTGCAAAAGTAATTTGCAGTTTTGTGATATTAGATTTGGCCTCAATGAGACATTCACTTGTATATAATCTAATGTACACCTGTCACAGGTGAAGTGGATTCTTTTGTAGGATAATAACCTAAAAATCTGTTTTTGCAGGATTCCACTTTAACTCTACACATTGTTACTGTTTGTGTGTGTGTGTGTGTGTGTGTGTGTGTGTGTGTGTGTGTGTGTGTGTGTGTGTGTGTGTGTGTGTGTGTGTGTGTGTGTGTGTGTGTGTGTGTGTGTGTGTGTGTGTGTGTGTGTGTGTGTGGTGGGTGGGTGGGTGGGTGTATAAAACATTGATTTTCATGGGCATGGAGTAGCATCACTGAACATTTTGGGCACTATTTAGATCCACTACAGCCACTTGACATTCAGCTGAGTTTATAGATATACACTCATTTTGTGATACTCAACCGTTAATTCTGCATTTAAAATCAACGCTTGAAATGCTGCGATTTTTATGGTACCACAAGTTTTTTTTCTTTGTTTGAGTGGCAGCAAGTGTAGGTTATGTTTAAACCTTTTGTTTCATACTACATCTTTTGTAAACTATGTAACAAACTGTACAATCCTGCTAAAAGAAGAAAACTGGGGATTGTAAAAGTAGACATTAGGGAAGGAATGAATGACTACAACATTCATGCTGTTTTTAGACATAAGAACCAGGCTTTTCCCCTGCACAGTATGTAAATACAAGTTTTATGAGTTATTGCTTTTGTCTCTTACTTTCTTTTCTTATTCTTTGTGATGATGAGTTTAATATGTCCTCTGCAAGAGGAAGAGTTTTTTTTATTGTGTAGCACACATCAGTTAATTCAAGTTTATTGGTTTGTAACATGGTGGCAGTTGCCATTTTTGTACATACTTGTAATGTTTTAAAAAACAATGAATCTCTTTATCCTCCTGTCATTTTTTCCCCTCCCACTATATCTGATAAACCTTATGAACCTCCAGATGTGTGGAACAAGCAATCATTTCCACGGGGGGGAAAACACAAAGCACCAAGGTTCCTCTGAAGGTTAATTCTGTACAAGTCCAGTAGGTTGGGAAAGTTTAGCTGCTTTTATGGTTCACAAGCTTTTATCATGTTGATACAAACGGGTGTTGTGCTCATGTTTGAGTTGTCTGCTCCTGGAGTTTAAAATGAAGTCATGTTACACAGAGTCGCAGAAAAAAGTATGTGAACCCTTTGGAATTACATGGATTTCTGCATAAATTGGTCAAAAAATTTGATTTGATCTTCATCTAAGTCACAACAATAGACAAACACTGTCTGCTTCAACTAATACCACAGAAACAATCATATTTTTTCAGTGAACACCATATAAACATTTACAGTGCAGGGTGGAAAAAAGTATGTGAACCCATAGGATCATGACTTCTCCAAAAGCTAATTGGTGTCAGGAGTCAGCCAACTTTGGACATTGGAGGTGTTGGTTGGAGCTGCTCTGCCCTATTATAAACACCAATTTTAATTTTACTATTCATGAAGCGTTGCCTGATGTGAACCATGCCTTGAACAAAAGAGCACTCAGAAGAACTAAGATTAAGAATTGTTGACTTGCATGAAGCTGGAAAGGGTTACAAAAGTATCTCTAAAAGCCTCAGTGTTCATTAGTCCACGGTAAGACAGATTGTCTAAAGATGGAGAAAGTTCAGCACTGTTGCTCCTTTCCCTAGGAGTGGCCGTCCTGCAAAGATAACTGCACGAGCACAGCGCAGAATGCTCAATGAGGTTAACAAGAATCCTAAAGTGTCAGCTGAAGACTTACAGAAATCTGTGGAACATGCTAACATCTCTGTTGATGACTACGATACGTAAAACACTAAAGAAGAATGGAGTTCAGGGGAAGACACCACAGAGGAAACCGCTGCTCTCCACAAAAACACCATTTCTGCAATTCAATTAAATTTTATTTATATTGTGCCAAATCACAACAACAGTTATCTCACAGCGCTTTTCATAAAAGAGCAGGTCTAGACCGTACTCTGTGATGTTATTTACAGAAGCCCAACAGGCTGAAACCCAACTTCAGGTATGAAGTTTGCCAAAGAGCACCTGGATGTTCCACACACTTCTGGCAAAATATTCTGTGGACAGATGAAACCAAAGTTGAGTTGTTTGGAAGGAACACACAACCTTATGTATGGAGGAAAAAAAGACACAGCACACTAACATCAAAACCTTATCCCAACTATGAAGAATGGTGGAGGGGGGATCATGGTTTGGGGCTTCTTCGCTGCCTCAGGGCACTGGAGGGGTTGCTATCATTGACAGAAAAACAGGAAACATTTTGTTATTGCTACCAAAGGAGGGTCAACCAGTTTTCAAATCCAAGGGTTTTTCCACCCTGCACTGTGAATGTTTACATGGTCTATTCAATAAACAAACAATTGTCGAGTGGTATTTGTTTAAGTAGACTGTGTTTGTCTATTGTTGTGACTCAGATGAAGATATGACCAATTTATGCAGAAATCCAGGTAATTCTAAAGGGTTCACATATCTTTTCCTGTAACTGTGTGTTGGCTCAAAGTAGTTTTAACAATTTGTTTATTTACATACATATTCAGTATAACCAAATACAGTACATTTCATTACAATCCTCCGTACGGGCAAGTGCAGCTAACATTAAGTTCCTAGTAGTGTGCCTCCCCTGGTATGACGCTTCATTTTTTTTCATGCTTTTTTTTGTCTTCAGCTGCTTGAATTTTCCATGTTTTATGTAGGAAATACATTGATTCATTTACATTTCCTTTGTACAGCAAAAACTGTTGTAAAAGTCTGCGACACTATTTTCATATAAAATGTACTAAAATAAAAGACACATATCCAACAGTTTGGACTCTATCTTTTATTTCGCACATAACTTAATATTAGTGATGAGGCTTTAATTTAATTATCATCCTTTTCTGGCAGAGTTAGCGTTAACTTCAGATTTATATCTCGTTTATTTCTTTTCAGTACTCCGTTAAATATGACACTACAACTGTGGCATACTTTGGTATACAGCTTCTATAACGTCTTCTTTCAGACTAGTGGAAACAAGGCGCTCAAAACACACATTTTGGTGTTTATTGTACTGGACTTTGTCTGCATGTGCAGACATCTTATAAATTCACCAGAAGTTAGCATCAGATACTGTCTCATTTGCATATTTATACATAACATTTCAGAAAACTTGGAATAATAAAGTGTCTTAATATAAGTAATCAACCGGACAATTTTGATGTTGATATCTGTTAGGTACATTTTTTTTTACCGTTCACCAGTAGTGTAATGTAAAATGTATGGAATTTTACAATACATATTAAGGGCCGTTTTCTCAAAATGAGTTTTGTCTCATACAATGAGCCTGAAATCTCCATTTCAGTAGCACTTAGACACCAAACATTCCAGTTTTATTCCCAACTATATTTTGAATGTTTTTAAAGAGGATTGCGCATATCATTCATAGCCTAAATTATAGAACATTTTATTCCCAAAACATAGCAAAAAAAAATCTTTGGACAGACTTTTCTGATTTATGGAGTAATAAGAGATTTTTGATGTCAATGAGACTTCCTGGTAAAATAAAATCCAAAATTCTCTGTTCAATGTCAACAAAATGAAATATTGAAACTGACTTAATCCAGTGTTCAGATTTCAGTCCAGATGCAAATGAGCAGATTTCACTGGATACTGCTTCATATTTAAACATAAAATTTCATATAATTATCTTAATGTAAGTAATCAAGTAGGAATGTGTCATGGTCATATCTGTTCAACATTTTACTCTGTTCACCTGTGGCGTCTCACCTTAATCCGTACAAACACCTAAATGTACAAGACTCCAGAAGTTACAGGAAGCAGTTAATGTATTTCCCAAAATGTTCAATGCTTCAACGTTTTCTTTCAGACATGACAAGTAGACAGTTTAACCCAATTTTATTAGTTTCCTCTGGAAATCCTATTGCAGACAAAGTATTTCATTGCAACAACACATTTCAATCTACAGTGTACACTTACAAAGGGGTGTAAATAGGAAGGTCAGCTGAAACACGTCTGGTGCATTACAGTTAAAGCAAAATGGTTCAGTGACCATAAACTTGACATGAAGTTGGTGCCTGGTGGTGAGTGACTAACAGTCTGAACTAGGAAAGTTCATTCCCGACTAGTAACATATTTTAGTAGAAAATGGGGTGTATTCTACTGTCAGGAAGACAAAACTTTGAACACAAAGGCAACAAAAAGAAAAATCAAAACAGGATCTTAAAAAAGTACAACAATGACAATTTAAAACCATGTCTCATGTTATTCATATTTTAGTCTCGTTTTCTTGTCTCAACAAAAATTATTTTTACTGCTTTCCTTCTACACCACCTCCCCAATAATTCTACAGTTAAGACAACAAAATTTCTTTTTTTTTTTTCTCTCCTCATTTCTTTTTTTAAACTTTGAGTGTTCAGGCACAGACATGTTGTGGCCTATATTAAAAATATAAAAAGGACAGTGAAAAAAAAAACAAAAAAACAACAGCCATGTTCAGGATATTCTTAGTCGCTCATCTCCATGTCTTCCTGATGGTGATCGTCTCCATTCAGTTTGGACTTTTTGGGGATTTGGCCCTCAGCTCTCTCCATCTCCTCCTGGCCTTTGGGGGATGAAACAGAGTCAGAGTCACTCTTCCTCTCGTCGTCGTCCTCCTCCTCCCCCTTTTCACTGTCATAACCTTGTTCCTCTTCATCGTAATCCCGCGTCACCTGTCAAGAAACAAAAGGTGGGGAATTTAGAAGCTGTCCAAATTCCAGGATTAGCTAGTTCTCAATGTGTATTTTAGCAAAACAAAATCACATGAAATGTAGCAACCTACTGATGTTCAAGTAGATTTAATAGAAGTCAATAACAATAATAAACATACCTTAACGTCTCCTTTCTCACTATCGGACTTGCGGTCCCGATCCCGTTCCTTGTCTTTGCTCTTTTTCTTCTTGCTGCTGGAGCGTTCTCTTTCATCCCTGCTCCTGTCCTCCCTCCTCTCTCGATCCCGGTCCTTCTCGCGTTCCTTGTCCTTCTTCTTCTCCTTCTTGTGACTAAATATGACATGACAAATGGATTAAAAAAAAAAAAAAAAAGTTGTACTACAAAGAAAGCAGTAGTGTCTTGAATGTAAAATGTGGACGACAACTCACCGTCTGAGCGAGGGTGACCTGGACAACCTCCTCCTTGGGGACCGAGATGCACTGCGGCTTCGCCTGTGCCTTCTAGGATTAAAGTAATAAAAACCATAAAAAACATTGAGTTATGAGAATAATGAGTTATTTGCTTGAATATAGCAGAGCATCAGATTAACTGAAGGGGAGTACACCTGTTGTGCCTGTATTTCACCATTAACACTGCCTAGACCACTCACCGACTAATGCTTCGTGACCTCCTGGCGCTGCTGTAGCTCTTGGGGGGCGTCTTTGATCTTTTCTTAGACTTTTCCTCCTTTCTCCTGTCCCTAATCAAGACACAAGCAAGGACAGCAAAGTTGGCAAATCACAGCACATTGCAGGCACCAGGGGAGACTGTGCTTTATCCTCTTCAGTGCCAGTAAGCAAGTCATTTGAATCCAAAAAGTGGAGCTGTTCAGTGTCAACAGTACAAAACTGGATGCATGGATGAAAGTAACAGGTTTAGAAACAACAATCATGAGTACTACAGCTCAAGTTCTGCAGCAGAAGTCAAGACATGTCACTAAAAGGAAGCCATTTTGGTCCAATAGTGGAGATACTGACCTAGATCTACTGCGGCGGCTTCTATCCCGGGAGTGGGACCTTCTCCTCCGTGGGCTCTTGGACCTCCTCCTACTCCTGGAATGGGATCTCCGTCGAGACCTGCTCTTTGAACGTCTGCCAAAATGAAGAAGTGACACATTTTAAAACATTGCTAGAAAAAAAATATGCTCTTCATGTCTTGTGTGTAGACACCACAGCAGATTATTTTGTTCACATCTGGTAACGCCAGCCCAGAGAATTATTTTTGTGCAGTTGTCTTTACCTGTGTCTTGAACGAGATCTGGACCGCCTGCGCCGTGACCGCGAACGGGAGCGGGAATGTTTGCGCTTGTCATCTTTCTTATCTGCAAAGAAACAACAATGACACAGTTAAATACCTACCAGGTAGCAGAGGCTTATTGCTCATACAAAGGAACAAATTAATATTATAGCTACGTTTCGACCAAAGGAACTATACCCTGGAACAAGGAACCTTTGGAGGAACTCACTGCGTTTCCACCGCAGGGACCAGGGTGTAAATTTAGTTCCAGGGTCTTTTTTTTTTTACCCCCAAATCCTGCTCGGGGGGTAGTACTTTCTGAAAGTACCAGTAGTTTGGGGGGTGGGGCTTGCCTTGCAGTGAATTTCTAAATGGGCGAGTAGAGGCTACTGGATTTAACTGGAGAATGTCTGCTGCGACTGCTCCTCTTTTCCACCATTGTTTGCAAAACAATAAATCGCAATCAACAGTCAGATAGCCACACAAGTCTTGCCGATGTCCACCTGAGATCGTACATTGGCATTAAATATATTGCTCGAAAACAGCAGCCAGTGTGCAGTGGTGTGTTTACAGCTCACAGCTGATGGAGTTACACTAAATACTGGGTCAGGAGTTGTTGTTTCATCATTCACAAGATTTCTACACTGGGCCAAAGTTGGCCCCCTACTCCTCCTCTCCAAAACAAGCGGAACAGCTGATTACAGCAGGTAATCAAGCTTGTTAAAAATCCTGTTCCTCCGACACTCTCTGTTTCTTTCTCTGTACTAGAGTTATTTTAAGAACTTGATGTCTTTATCCAGTTTGTTATTAAATTTACACACTTTGTGTGTGTCTCTTCATTATACTCCCCCACAAAAAAAGCTGTTTTTAATGGTCAAGCAAAGACTATAATTTTTCATTATATTCCAATCAAATCTGATGTTCATTTATAAATTTGGCTCATGGATCGTGGTTACTAAATAATGATGCCAGTCCATCGCTTTGTACGGCGTATGTCAGCTGGTTAATTTACCTAATCTTCGCAGGTCTTTAGACTGCAGTGGAAGCGCATACAACAATGGGCTAAAGGAATGCTTTAGTTCCTTGAAAAGAGATCCAGGAATAAAAAGTCTCGGGCACTATTGGTGGAAACGCGGCTTATGGTTTTCACTCATTATACTATATTATAAACTGCTAAATAAAATGAAAAGCCTATAAGTGCAGTATCCTAAAGAAGCTTTTACAATTCTGAGACATGAGAAAACTGAGCACTCACTTCCTGGTTCAATGGCTGCAGAAATGAGAGACTGGGCCTCTCGGACTCTCTTCATAGCCTCTTCAATCTCCTTATTGGACGCATCAGACTTCAGCCCTGGATTCAAGTTCAGTCCGGCCGCTAATGGATTCAATCTGCAAGTGCCATCAATTGTTTAGATTTTTCTCAAAAGAATATTTAGACTCACTGGGTAAGAGCGTATATAGTTTCTTACTTGGGGTCCATGGATTGCATGAGCTTCAGGAAGTCTGCAGAAAGAGCCTGAAAGAGAGGTGAGGAGATTACCATGAGAGAGAAATGTTTGTTTTAAACATGCAGTGACTGAATGTGACGGACTAAGTGCTTACCTGGGGGTTCATGTTAGGTCCCTGTATTCCCATTGCAGCCATTTGCTCCATGTTGGGAGCTCCAAGACCTCCGAATGGCGTCCCTCCCATCTGAAATAACAGACACAGAACACTCAAGATACTCTGCAGAACTAAATTAGCAGCACTAGCAACCAAACGTTTTAATTAGCATCCAGCGGATGCATAAATTTTGGGTGTTGGAACACGCCACCAAGACAAAATTACAGGCTTTTACAAATATGTCCCATATTCACAGTGCTGCCTGCTGGGTAGAAATCTAAAACCACCACAACAGCATGTTTTGTAAATGTTTAAAGAAAGTATAACTTGGCTTACAGTTAGTTCTGTTAAAAGAACAGAAGAGACTCATAGAAATAGAACAGAGAAACCCAAATGAACATATTGTAAACTTTTAAAGAAGATACTTACTGTTGCCAAAGGATTGGGTGTTGGAAGAAGGCCTCCCCCAGGCATCATTCCTGCCACGGCATTGGCTGGAGCCAGCAGCGACATAGCTTTAGATTCATCAGGAATGACTCCTGGAGAAGAACAACAAAATTTCAGTACATGCTCCAAGCAAACATCGATAAACACTCAGACAAGACTTGCAGACAAGCCACCTCAGTCTAACTACTCTGTAGTAAAAAAAAAAAAAAATCCACTTTTTGTCTTGTCTGTAAATCTTGATCCCTGACTTTTTTGTGAGAAAGTATGATTGTAGGATTAGCAGCTATGAATTTAAAAGTCACAATACACACTGTGGTCAACACTGCCAAGATTTTATCACCTGTACTTGTTTTTTAAGTCATGAACCAAACGTAAGCAAGCACAGCCAGTTGTCCCGTGGGATGTGCTCTCAACTTTCATTAGATGTTTTATGAACAAGCGACTCGCGCCGGCTGCTTCGCTATAAAGCACACAAAAACATTGAGATACAGAAAACAAAGTTCATGATTTGGGTGTAGACAAGGGTACATTTCAACATCACTTACCATTACAACAACAGAAAAGGCTCAGTCATATTACCTTTTCTGGGCTTTTGTTGGTGGTTACTTTGTACAATTCCACCACAACAAAACTTGGCAACCAGATAAAGTACTGCTAACAGGCTACAGTACTGCTAGGATTTAGCCGACAGTATGTCACTACAAACACTAAACAATGTCAAACAAACTGCACTAAACAGTTAAGGGCTACTGCCAGCAAAAGCTGTGATAAAATCATGAGAAAATGTGCCCAAAGCTGAAGAAAAACCAAACAGTAAAATCAAAAGGGAAAATCTTATGGGATGATCATCCATGGTTGTTCAATCTGAAAACAGGCTTCTTTTTTTTTTTTATCTGACATGACATTTTAAAAAGGGGAGAGAGAGAGACATACACACACACGCGCGCACACACACACACACACACACACAAACAGAAAGGACACTTGAGAAACAGGATAAGGCTGCAGAAGACAAAACTGTTGGTGGCATTTTCAGCAGGGCCTGGTATATAGGGCTGGCTGAACCAGGAAAAAGAACTGTAAAACACAACAACAAAAGAAACACCACTGTTAAACGTGAGAGTCACTCAACTCTTTCAGAGTCATGTGTGGAGAGGGTCAATAAAAAAGCATTTTTACTGCAACATCAAGCAGAGGCTTATATCTACTTTTATCTCTTGTGTGTTAGTGTAAATTTAGAAGAATACAGATGCACAGTGTAAAATAATACAAGGCTTTGGCACATGAAGCAAGTAAATGCCAAAAGCACTGTGTGCTTATCATGTTTAATAACCAAATTATGTGCTAATTCACTTCCACCACATCTGCTGAAAATAGCCGTCTAGATGATGGCACACACCTTTAAAATCTATTCTAGCATGCACAACTGATTGGTTAATCTATCCTGCATGCTTTGTGCTTGGTGTAGGGATGTCCCGAACACCCCCCCTCCCCTCCCTGAGGCATTTAATATTAGGATTTAGCCAAAACCAAGTCCCGATCCAGTATTTACATTTTCCTTTTTAGTGCAGTTATTTGGCTGATTAAACCTCAGGACTGTGTGGACCTGTAAGACTTGATTGACATCTCCCTCACCCTATTGCTAAGTTTGGTTGCACCTGTTAGGGCAGGGCAACTTACACCTGGAGTTTGGTGACCTAAACAAACTCCCACCATAGCACCACCCAACTTGAACCTAAAAATAGGTATAATCGGTCAGTAACTGAAAACACTAGTGTGTAATGTACAGGGTCATTAAAGGTTTCCTACAGTGTTGTGCATAATATCAATGTAGACTCAATGTGGATCTGTTGTGGCAGCAAATCAACTACATAATATGTATAATATGCTACGTATTACACATTATACAGTTAACCAAAGTTTAAAAGCTGTTTTCAACAGTAGATCTCTTAGAGATGTGTAACACCTGCAAAATGTTGCAGATAGAGGCAGAGTGAGTGAATTAAATCAACCAGACCTCATTGTTGATGTTTACTGGTTCAAGCAATGCGAAATTTTGGCAACTGCCGTACACAGAGTGCAAAAGGTTAAAATATAAAGAGAGGATCAGAATTGGTTCAAACCAGAAGTCGATCACCAATTAATAAAAGAATGTTTTGATCGGCCTCGATACCAATCCAGCAGATGTGCTCGGGGCATCCCTAGTTTGGTGCATGCCTAATAAATCAACATTTTATTTTTAAAAAAAATATTAAAATCCTTTGAACATGTGAGGAATTGAGATTGCCCTGCACCCTTTCCCCCCACCCCCCTCATTTTGCTAAAGAGTTGTGTGGCTAATTTTAGAAAAGATGCCTTGAACAGAGAGAAAAAAATAAAGAGTTAATATTTTACTGCAGAACAAGAGAGAGAAGGGGGCTCGCGAGCCTGGTGCCATTATTTTTTCTAATCTCCTGATGGCAGCAGAGGACCACTTTCAGCCAGCAAGGAAGGGGCTCTCTGCAAATGACTTGTCCACTATGAAAACCACAACACAAATAACAGAGAGAGAAGTTTACAGCTAGATTGTAAGACATGGACACAAATGTACATTTCCCTTTTACATACCTAGAAATGCCAAGCACTGAAAAGCATAGCTAAATTTGCTTGGTCAGAAAAAACTCATAATGGCTCACGTAGTGTTTGCAATTCTATTAAAACAACCTACACATTGTGATGTTTTGTTTAGAGACAGCCATGTGAGTGAGACACGAATTACACACAGACACCCACCTTCAGCAAAGGGGACCACGATCAAGGCTCTGTCCACGAAGACGGTGTTCGTCAGGTGTTGGGAAACTCCCACCGACTCAGACTCAAGGAACTTTACAAAACACACACGTGAAGTCACAGGCAAGGGAGAGTCACTGGAAAAAAATACAGATATGTTGTGCAAAGAATACAAACAAGGAGAGCCAACATGCCTTCTTCAAGCAAACTTATTTTTTGAGTTTTGTGTCCCCAGGACAATAATAATAATGGATCATAGGCTATACACACTCGTCCACTCTCTGATCACAAGGTAGCTTAGTAATATTTATATGTAGTGTGTTGTAATGTTAGCACAACCCTCATTGACAATCTGTTGAGAATCAAAGATCACTGATGTTTTGAACCTTTATCTTCTCCCCCACTGGTTTCCTGTGAGTGAAATTATGTTTAAATTGTTACTATGTTGTCGTTACATATCCTACCTGCCAAGAAGCCAGGTGTAAATCGATAGAGGAAAATACAAAGCAGAGAACAATTATTTCCTACTACAGTCAGTGTTACAATAGTGTAAAATATATATTGCTGTAGCTCATTAGCATCCTAAGCGGCTGTAGAGATGCCAAGGGATTGCCAGCAGGAAGTCACTGGAATAAATATATTAACATTAAAATAGTTGTAATACTGGGGCTGTTATATCTAGGGCCGCAAATGTTTGACAATTACATTACACATCAATTTAGTCTATAAAAAGGTCAGGGAAAAAGGATAAAATTAAGAAATTATTTCATTTACAGTGATTGGAAAGAGAAAGGCAAAGCAGCTTCAACAGGCTAATGTTAAATATTTTACAGCGCTGAAACAATTCAAGTCAATTAACTGGCAAGTCAATCAAAGATATCAAATCAAGATATCAGTTTGTATGTTAACAGTAATTTATCAAACAAATGATAAGTTATGCTTCCACAATTTTCACCAACTCAAATGAGAGGGTTTCCTGATGTATTTGTGTTTTCTATCATTGTAAACTGATTATCTTTGGGGTTTTGATGGTTTGTCAAACGAAACAAGCAATTCTTTAAATACTTTATTTAAAATAACAGACAGGTCAACAGACGATAGATCATTGGTTGAAGTCCTAGTATTTTTGCTGATAACGGAGTCAAACAGCGGATTACCAAATTTGTGCAGATTAATTTTCAGTCAAACGACTAGTCGACCAAATCAGGTGTTTCGCAGCTAACGTTAATTATATCCCGGAGTCTGTGGAAGAAAGGACATTTATATCTGTGCCAAATCGCTCACACAACATCAGGAAAAGCATCGATTTACAATAACCCTCATGCGGTAAAGTTAAGGGGAGTGACTGCTGCTACTTTCACTAAAGGCGCGGGCAAACGTTAGCATTAGCATGCTGGGCAGTGAGGCCTACTCAACAGTACAGGCCTCAAGAGAAGCCTTGCGTGAGCCGCGTAAGCTATCAAGGTAAGATAACGTTTTAGGTATTAGATTAATAGTTCAGGGTACTCACTCGGGTGGAAACAGTTTGAGTTCCTCTATGTTTCCGAGGAAGCCAAACAGAGTCCTCATTTGCTCGGACGTTGTGCTCGGGGAGACATTTGTCACCTGAATGACGTGCGTGTTGGAATTCATTTTCGCGAGTGCTAATCAATCTTTTAGGATAGCAACGTGCCTGAATTTAAAACAACAAATGGCTTAGGTTAACGTTTACGAGGATAACATCAGGCGGATACAAAAAGTAGCATCTTTCCTGTAGATAGACGGTGTTTAACGTTCGCTGCGGACAAGAACACGATGGCCGCTAGTAGACAGCAACAATACCACTGCTGAAAATGTCGTGAGGCAGGAGTGCCGCATTCACGTGTCGTTTGTAAACTCGTACTTATGAGGTTTTCCCAAGCAAACACTAATTAAAAAATATGGCAGTATGCTTTCGGTCAGTGTTTACCAGTGGTGGAAAAAGTAATGAGATCCTTTACCGAAGTAAAAGTAGTAATATCACGATTTAAAAAATACCCTTCTAAGCATTATATCTTAGAAGAATAACAATCCCTTTATTAATCCCTCTTGGGATTATTATTTACACCCACACATAGGCCCGAAATACACAGATGCACATACACGCACACACACACACACGTAGACATGCAGTTGTTACAAAGAGATGTGAGTGTTGGGGCTGCCACATAGTCAAAAATCTACTTTTGTGTTTTATATGTAAAATCTATAGCCTGACTGATACTGGAATTTTGAGGCAGATACTTACCTCAATATTAGTGTAATTTTTAAGCATCCAATAATGATATGTCAGCAGATGCAGATGGTATTTATTTAAACATACATACATACATACATAACAAACAATATTAATTCAAAAAAGAATTGTGACCAAGATACTATGATGGATACTATGTAATATTAATAATCTGGTGACACTGTTTAGTTTGGCATTGCGGTACTGCAGTTTCTTGTTACTTATCGACAGACACCGACCAGTGCTGATATAAGATTAAATAATCTAATATCGGTTGATATACTGATCTGCTTATCAGTCTAGCTCTAGTAAAATCTTAATCTTTAAAGTAAGTCGTAACTATAGCTATCAAATAAAGTACAATATTTGAGCAAATGTACTTTGTTTACTTCTACCTATTGTATTTACATAAAGCTCTGGAAACAGGACAAAGAGGAGAAAATGTGCATTATGTGAAGAATATGATTAATTGTTTATGTTATTGTGTTTTCTGTTTTTAACTTTAACAGTTTAGAAGAAATACCTGATTGGCTTTTACTTTTCAGGCAATGTTTGGCGTACAAAATAAAGTTTTTGGTAATTCTAAATACTGAGTATAATCTATCAAACATGATATAAAAGTGTGATTTAAACTATGTAATCTTACATGAACAACCACGAAAAAGAACGGATTGTGATAAAAAAAAAAATTAAATTATTTTACAATCAAGCCTTATAATTTTGTAAGTCGTTCATAAAATTACTTTTGACATTTTGTCCAACTGTACCTGAAGGCAGCATGGCTCGGCTGAAGCCAAAGGGGGAGTGGTTAAGGTTGAGTCACAGTACTTTGTTGCTAGGCTGCTAGCTAATGGTATCCCCAAACAGTCTTTTTTGGGGTGGTTTTTGCCGTTTTTCTTCTCGAAATCACACAGCCATGCAAACACCTAAATAGTTTTAAAACGACAAATGTATGCCAAGATACATCGGTCATTTTAAACAATCAACCACTGCTTAACAGTTACCTCTGTGCTGGAGTTAAACAAACATCGTTGGAGGGCAACTCAACGACATCTGGGCGCGTTGCTTGCTAACTTAGCATAACGTTACTCGTTGCTAGTTGACATCTCAACAAGTTGCTGCAGTGTTTGTTAACCTACTGCAGATATTTCGATTATATGGCTTTCCACGAGCGTTAACGGTGTCGTCAAATGTCAGTGCAACGTTAGCTAATGGTGTATTGCTTCATAAACGTGAGGATCCAGGGTCTCTGGGCGGAATAAAATCCCCGAACAAGCTGTCAAGATGGAACTGCAGAGATCAACGACATGAAACATGCAAGTGGATGCTTTTCTGTTGAGGTAAATAATATTTTTTGTGCATGGTAACAATGAGATTGGATATGGATATAACGTTAGGATATGGTGCAGCGTTGGCGCGAAATATATAAAAACACTGCAGAGCTCTGGAAATCCAGTATTATACACAGTGGTGGCTAGTAATTAAGTTCATGTAACTTACTCAAGTACTGTACTTACATTTACATTTACTCATTTGGCAGACGCTTTTATCCAAAGTGACTTACATTTGAGGAACAACATACAAGCATCAACAGAGCATCAAATACAGATCTACAACTGACAATACATACTAGTAAGAGCAGCAATAAGTACTAGTAAGAGCTCATAGTACATATCACATCAATGGGGTAAATACCTAGGGAAGGAAGTAAGAGTTAACAAAAAGTGCAATCAAAACAAAAAAGTGCTATCAATACAAGATCATTGTAGGGGATAGAAGAAGATGAGCACAGGACGTGCATGTTAGAGGTTAGGGGTGTTATAAGAGGAAGTTTTCTTGGAAGAGATGAGTTTTCAAGAGCTTCTTGAATTTAGAGAGGGACGCCCCTGCTCTGATGGCGTGTGGTAGCTCGTTCCACCATCGTGGTGTCACAGATGAGAATAGCCGGGACTGGGATTGCTTTGTGTGAAGGGATGGCAGAGCCAGGCGGTGTTCGTTGGAGGAGCGTAGCAGCCGAGAAGGAACGTAGGGATTTATTATGGAGTTTAGGTAGATGGGTGCAGACCCAGTAGTCACTCTGTATGCAAGCATTAGTGACTTGAATTTGATTGTGGAGGTCAGTGAGTAATGTAGTGACATGAGTCTTTTTGGGCTGATCAAAAACCAGACGTGCTGCTGCGTTCTGAACCATTTGTAAGGGTTTCGCTGCACAAGCTGGAAGACCTGCTAGGAGGGCATTGCAGTAGTCAAGGCGAGAGATAACCATGGCCTGTACCAGAAGCTGGGTGGCGTACCGAGTGAGATAGGGCCTGATTTTCCTTATGTCGTATAGAGCAAAGCGGCATGACCCCAAGTTTCATGACACCCAAGTTTCTCACCACCTTGGTTGGAGTGATGGTTGAGGAGTCAATTTGTAGTGTGATGTTATGGTGGATAGATTGCTTGGCTGGAATGACCAAGAGTTCAGTCTTCGAGAGGTTTAGTTGAAGGTGGGAAGCCTTCATCCATGCAGATATGTCCAAGAGACAGTCCGTGATCCGCGCCGAGACGGTGGGAGCGCCCTTGCGGAAGGATAAGTAGAGTTGTGTATCGTCTGCGTAGCAGTGGTAAGAGAAGCCATGCGAGCGAATGATCGGCCCCAGTGAGGTGGTGTAAATTGAGAAGAGAAGGGGCCCTAGCACTGAGCCTTGGGGCACCCCTGTGGAGAGGCAGTGGGAGGGCGATAATTGTCCTTGCCACAAAACATTGTAGTAACGCCCCGAGAGGTAGGATTCGAACCACAGGAGTGCTTTACTCGAGATGCCCATTGCTGAGAGAGCGGATAGCAGGATCCTATGGTTGACTGTGTCAACTGATAGGTCAACTTAAGTACAAATTTGAGGTACTTGTACTTTACTTGTGTACTGTACTGTACTTGTACTTTACTTGTGTTTTCTTTTCATGCCACATTCTGCTATTACTCCACTACATCTCAGAGGGAGAAATTGTACTTTCTTTACATTTTTCATGTAAAAACATTTCATGGTTCCACCTTCACATGAAACGTGTAATAATTTTGAGCTATGTACTGTTGGTTAGACAAAGCAGGCCTTGTGAAGGTGATTGTGACGGTATTGCTCACTATTTTCAGAATTTCAAAAATCGATTAATGGAGAAAATAATCAGCAGAAGAATCCATAATGAACATAATCATTGGTGGCAGTCCGATCCAAAATAGTTAAAAATTAGCTCCCCTCAACAGCTACAGCATTATAATCCTGCATTTCCATTAATGCATAAGTAATAATCTAATCTAAAATAATATAACAGTCGCAGGACATTTTTCTTTCTACAGTAAGTACTTTTACTTTTAATACTTTAAGTAAATTTTCCGGATTATAGTTTTACTTTAGTAACATTTCTATCAGGAGCGGACACTTTCAAAAAAGCAGGGACTGGTGCATTTAAAATTAGGTCAATTAATCTGGCTGTTTATACCTGAGTTGGACAGTACAGGATATTATTCAAAGTTAATTTTGGATTGTAATCAAGCTGTAGATGTCATACCAAAACCACTTGTTATGGGGAGCATTAAAGTTTCCTTTCCAGTTTAACAAAAAGTACAGTTTTCAACACTACATCTTGTGACTAAATAAATACCCGTAGTATTTTAAAAATTTTGGCTTAATGTGTAGGTAACATGCCAGAAGGACTAAACTGAATATTCTTTCTCTTGCAGGTGGGTAACTTATGAAAAATAACTATGAACTGGAAGGATACAAAATGGTGACTGTTTTCCCATGCACAACCCCATTCACATGACAGCAACAGGGAGATATGGGCTTCCTAAGATTGGTAGGCAGAATCATGGGTAGGATCAGTACTTTCAGGTCCTATCAGTTTGTGCTTCTCCTGGCTGCTGCACTTGCCGTTGTTGCTTTTTACTACTTTGGCTCAGAGAGGCAGAACTTTTCCAGCACTACAAAGAGGATCAAGCACACCCAGGCCAGCCACAACACCAACAGAAACGATGCAGACTTAACTGTGGACACCGGGCTCTCACACCCAGCTGGGTCTGAAGAGCAAGAGATGAAGAGCAAGGTATAGGCGGAGCGGGCGTGGGATTCTGGCCCAGGAAAGGGGATGGTGACCAACGCTACCACACACTCATGATGTTCACCAAGGTGGACAAGAGCCGGAGCCTGCAGGACAAGTTCAGGGTGGCCATGTTGTCTATGGTTAAGCACGGACACTTCCTGGAAGGAGAGATGTTGATCCTGCATTTTGTGAGTGACCAGGCCAGCAAAGAACTGGGAGAGAAGATGCTGCAGGAATTTCTCCTTGATGCAACATTCAAGTATGAGGTAAGCAGTCTGCACAGTACCATAGCTCTGTTGTCTATTGATTTCAAGATGAGAAGAAGATGAATCCTCACAATGTGTGACCTGATGGTTTTATTTCTTGTAAAGTTGCATTTGAGTTGCATTGAAATAACTTGACTTATGCTATTGCACAGCGCTGTCTAATGGGCCAGTGGCAGACTCTCAGGATGCAAATTTGTTTAGTTTTCTTAGTTCAGCATTCAACACTTCAGAATCAGTTGATCAGTTG